TGTAACACGTATGAGGAGAAAGCTGAAACCGAACGTCAATATCGAGATATTGCAAATGAAAATTTTAAGCTCAGTTTTCACGTACCTAAGAAAGATCAGTGCGATCAATGTCACATTTTCAGAAATATTAACAATCCTACTACTCAACAAATCACAGATCATGAAAATCATGTCACAAATAAAAAGTTATCTCGACAATTCATGAAGTCTGATAAAAACGAAAGCAAATCTTCGCAAGGTAATATCGTCGCCGCTACTTTTGATTTCCAAAAGATTCTTAATGCACCTCATGGCCAATTAAATATTTTATATTACAAGCGGAAGTTGTCGGTTTTTAATTTTACTTTGTTTGATCTAGCAAATAAAGAGGGTCATTGTTATATGTGGCATGAGGGAGAAGCTAAACGTGGTTCTAATGAGGTATCAAGCTGCCTTTCTCATTTTATACAGAAAATGCATGAACAGGGTGCAGATGAATTCAGATTCTGGTCAGACAATTGTGCCGGTCAGAACCGCAATCGCATTGTATTTGCGTTTTATGTGTATATTGCTCATAAACTTAACATTACTATAAAACATACCTTCCTCGAAAAAGGTCATACCCAAGCCGAGGGTGACAGTGTTCACGCTTTAATAGAATGTTCGTCTAAAACTAAGCTTATATATACACCTTTAGAATGGTTTAGCTTAGTTAGATGGGCTAAACAGGATGGAAAACCATATAACGTCATAGAAATGAAGCACACCAACTTTTTTAATTATAAAAAACTTTTGGACGGGCGTAATTGGTCAAAAAATATAAGTGGAGATGTAGTTAAATGGAATAAAATAAAAGAAGTGCGGGTATGTGCAGAAGATCCTTTTAAGATTGAATATCGGTAAGATTTGGCAAACATGAATGCTATGACTATTGCCATTAATACGAATACCCGTAGTCGACAAAGAATTAACAGTATTGCTGAGCTATGCCCTCTCTATTCCAACCATCTACCCTTAACAAAGGCAAAATATGATGACTTAATGAGTCTCTGTCACAGTGGAATTATTCATGCCACATATCACTACTTTTTCAGGAGTTTATCTTTTGTTGCTGGTTTTCATAATGATGTTGAATTTTCTGGCTCAGAATAGTAAATAAATTAGTCTTAAGTCAAAAATAAGTCTATTTAATTGAAAGTAACTCAACTTTTTTTATTATAATAGTAAAAATGCATTTTTTTTCAACTGAAAATAATGATAGTTAAACGGCCAATAATCATAAATGGTAACCAGATTTTGAGTTGTCTTGATTATAAGTTGATCTCCTAGAAATTATTTAGTGAGTAATATTTTTTATTTTCTAACAAAAATATGTTGATTTTTTTATGATTTTATTGTAACAATCTTGTGAAGAATTTATTTTGTTGTTGTTAATCCTATGAATGTTGAATTAGAGAGTGAATTATGTTTGGATTTTTTGTCTGTTTATTATATTTTTTTATTGTTTCTAAATAACCTTACTAAGATTGATTTGTTCTCGAATTTTTTGATTAGGTCCCTGCTATTGGAAAATTATCTGTTTTAATAAGAATAAAATAATGTTTATGTTGGAATGTCTTTTTTATTTCTTAACCTAGAATTTGTTCAAATACAACAATACAAACTTAAATTTGTAACTTATGTTAATTGTTATTACCACATACAGTGGAATGAGACTTAAATTTTTCAGTGTATATTGTTGTAATTATTATTTACAACAACTGACGAAACTAAACTTTGCGGTATAGAGTTGTAAGTATAAGATACGACTACTGGCGCAGCCTGTACTCCGAAGTAAAATATTGTATAAACAATAACTCAGAAAATATACAAATTTAAAAAAAAAACTGTTAACATAGTCAAGAATACTTACTATAAATTATATTCGTATACCAAATCTTTAAACTGCTCTATTGTAAAATTGCAGTTTTGGGGATACAACAACTTACGTGGGAGGTATCGATATATATATATAAATATAAAATTATGTATAAAAGGAAAAATTATAATAATAATAATCATCTGCAATGTACTACATACAAAGCGAGTGATGGCAGTGATACATAAACCACCTGTGGTTTTCTTCACTGTTACTGTATTTACATGAACTGTAACCTTGTGCCATGAACAAATTAAAAAAAAAAAAAAAACTGCTGAAATTGGATTATACCAGAACAGGCAGCCTCCTAATATAAAACAAAGGTTCCTAAAACAGAGCCAGTTTTGTTGTACTTGCTTGGCCTCCTCGAGTGCCTGAAATTCTGTGCTTTATATTTTGGGCACATTTGAATTCAGATTTTGGTGATTTGCTGGCACAAACTCTTTAAAAGAGTGCTTCTTTTGTTACCATTCACTCTTACAAGCACCAATGTACCTAATATGCTATTCCATGAAATCAAGGAGCAGCCCTAAATGATAGATAAGGAGAAACTTGTTTACTCATTCATCATCATCATCATCAACAGCCTTTACTGGTCCACTGCTGGACATAGGCCTCTCCTTACTCATTATCTTCTATTTATTTCAACTTCAAAAAATACTTTTTACTTAATAATTGCTATGGCGGTGGAAGTTGTTGATAAACAAAACATCATCGAATGTTCAATTTTTAAAAACATTCTGTATACATTTCGAGTACTACTGAATATTTTTTATCTATATTATAAAAGTCAATAGATCGTCATGAGATTGACCTGAGATTGTATTTAGACGAAACTGCGCAAAGATTGTTTTTTTTTGCTAGCAGAATACCTATTTTAAGTCAATTCTTAATCTGTCTTGCTACAATTACATATAGGTGTCTGATGTTTTAAATACGAGAATTGGCCTTCTGGAGATTTAAACGTTGCTTTTGCAATTACTTACCGGCATCAAAACCAAAGACTCGTACATTTCTTGTAGATAAGTTCCGACAATCGGAAGCAATCGTGTGTCGTCTCCTAAACAAACTCTGCACATCGAAAGCTTTTCCATTATTAATTCTACGGCAAGTCCAAACAATTTCTTTATTATAATCACTTCAGTATTTTTCACTGACTATGCGTCTGTATTATCTATTATATTTAAACTTTAAGTAATTACGTGCTCATACTGTCAATATTCAATACTCACTGACCTATAATAAAGTATTAAAATACAACAAGTTACTTCAGAACATACATATTCTGTAGGTACATTATGATAAACTTCAACAGTCAACTTGACATTATGACAGAAAAATGTGAATGGCGATTATATGATTGCGCAATCAACTCGACTAAGACGATGGTATTAAAGTCACTTCCTATGAAATCACATTTCACAAGAACTTCCAGTCCACTTGAATGATTAAATCTAAAATATCCAGTGCCAATTGAGGTGTTGAATTAGGGGAAATTGTGATACAATTTTATTCAAAATAATAATACTTTAAATAAACCACTAAAGTCAGTGGTCGAATTTATATAAAGTAACGTCATTGATGCAGCTTCTTAATAAGACTTGTCATTGCGTAGTCCCTGATTGAATAAAAAAATTTTAAGATAAATACGTCCTGTCCGTGTGGTGACGGATTAAGAATACAGAGTGTCACCACCACCACCACCAGCGTGGTGTAGTAGGCCAAAACCTCCTTTCTAAGGAGAGGCCTATGTCCAGCAGTGGACTAGTAAAGGCTGTCGATGAAGATAAATAAAAGGTATCCGGTCATTTATCGCTCCAGTCGAGCTGATCCATATGTACCGAAACAAGGCTCTCTTACGACGACAAAGTTGAATTTTCTGTTATGATTTTGCATCATCATCAGCCTATTGCAGTCCACTGCTTGGTCATGGACCTCTCTCATTGCACGCAACTTAGGCCAAGCCAACCTAGTGGGGTTTCCACTAAAACTGGTGTGTTCAAACCCCCTTTTTACAAGCCAAATTATGCCTTTAGTAGATAGTGGTGTTTTTTTTTTGTGGTTTAGTGGTACTAATAAGACTGAAGATGACTCGGAAATGCTGTTGAAAGATGAACTGTGAGAACTGTTTGTGTACATAAGCATTAAAATTGTTTGATAGGAAAGGAAGGATGGGATTGGATAGAAGTGCTCAGGAAGGGAAGGATTATTAATTTTAGGCAATTTGATGATATAAGCTTTGTACCAGAGAGCGAGTAAAAGTTTTCGGAGTCGAGAAAGTCAATAATGGGGGCTATAACTTCAAGGATGTAATCCAGGATGATAACTATCATCCCACGGCTTGCATACCATTGCGTTACAACAGACAGGCAGGAGGATATAATTCAGGGTCCGACTTAATGATCCGGTTGAGTAGCAGAAGAGAAATGACGATTGATATTATTCAAATAAATAAAACTCACTTTGTTGTTGTCTACAAATGCCCATCGTTTTAGTTATTGCTCTTTAAATATGCTCAAGGCTCAAGGAATTAGCGATTTTGATAATACTCTCTTAATACTGCCTCATTTCAATGGCGATGTTGAGTTGAGAGACTATAAGTAAAAACATAGGAATAGAATCAAGTTAAATCTTTATTTTCTATGTTAAGAATACGCTGTGGTTTGAAGCTGGAAGGAGATTGCTGCAACTAAAATGAAATTTAAATAAACATTGTGATACAAATTGGTACCAAATAATCATATTAATCTGGAATTCATATTAATCTCTGTTGGTGATAAAAACAGTATCAGTAATAAATTAAATTTTAACAAAGGAAACTGGTTATTAATATACTGACGGGTTTTCGTTCGTAATTACAAAAAAATGTTTAGTGGTAAAAATAGAGTAGGTAGTTTTTCGTTAGTGGTTTTAGATTTTGAATTTGGTGGAGAGTTCATTAAACTGTGGGCAACACTGCTTGGCACTTGCAACTCTCATATTATTTGTATACTCTGTGCTTTCAAGTTGTAAGGTTTGACACAAACGTGATTGTATTGTTTTTCTAGGTTAGAACATACAAACACTGTTTTTGTTAATTAAACAGTAACAATAATTAATAAAAATGGTAAAAAAGAAAATAGATAATCGTATCAGGGTGATGATAGAGAATGGCGTGAAATTGGGCCACCGGACTATGTTTGTTCTTGTAGGGGATAAGAGCAGACATCAAGTAAGTACCATGTATATAAATAAATGATTATTTCTTCCATAGTATGTATTAACTAAAATTATTTAAACCTATTTATTGTTATGCTCTCAGAAATAGTAAATTAACCTTTGACTAGACATAGTATACGACTTAAATACCATGTTATAAAATAACGTGGTACTTTAATTTGTTTGAGGGCCATGAGGATGAAATAAAATCGCAATCGCATGGGATAAATCATATTATTTATAAATCTGTGGAACGGGGTATCGTCTGCGATATTTCACGTGAAAGTCACTTTCGGATAAATATTAAAGCTACAGTAAGGTTTTGGCCTACCTTACCGTGCAGGCCAGACGGTCTGGAATAGGGCTAGTTTCAAGTTTTCCTTCTCTTTGCAGTGCTGTAGTTTCTTCCTCTTGTCGGCTCTCACGACACCTATGGGAGGCATAGGGGTGGTGACACTTTATATTTATAATCCGTTACCACATGGACAAAACTTTTATTTACTTATAAAGTTTATTACGTGAATTAAACATTATAAATAATACCTTATAATTACTTAAATTTTATTTAACGATGAAATGTAGTAAGTTTCTTGTAAATTACTTTCAGGTTCCTATTCTTTATGATATACTGGTAAAGTCTACAGTAAAGGCTAGACCTAAAGTTTTGTGGTGCTACAAAACTAAAGACGCAGCTATCAGCAAGTGAGTAACACTATTAGAGGTTGTATTAGACATGTATACCATTTAAAAAAGTTGAAAATTCAAAACATTGCTAAGAAGATGTCTGTGTTTTTATCCTTTAATCTGTGGGAGATTCAATCTGTTCACACACCAAATCTTGCTGTAACTGAAAAAGTGTCTGTGAGTGTTTGTGTGCCCTTTCTTCTCGTAAGGCTCAACTCCTTGGAAACGGGGGGTTGCAGATTGACTTCATACAAACTAGAAGGAACTATTGCTATTAAAATGTTAACTGTTATATTACTATACTTCTACGGGTACTTACTATAGTTCTTTCACTAAGATTTGTAATATTTTTTTAATTTTTAGTGCTCTTTGTCAGTATTGTTTGAAGTCGATTCAACTTTTTTTAAAAAAGGAATTTATTCTTGTTGGTCTCCGTTTTTTAATTCTAATAGCACTTTAAACTAGACTTGCAACGAATATTCGGTTACTATTCGGTATTCGGCCTATTCGGCTGCTTTTAGTATATTCGGCCGAATACCGAATATCTACATATTATTCGGCCGAATACCGAATACTTAAATAATATATTTTGTCATTGAGAAATAATTGGTAAAATGAAAAATTAAAATCGATTGATTACGTATATATTCATATTTTCATTTCTGTTATAGTCATTTAAGTAGTCATTGGTGCATAACACAGGTACATAATCATCTTCTGAATAGGAAAAATGGAGGATTCTATGTATTTGAATTATTGTGGTAATCAAAATTTAGAAGGGTAAGGTTCTCATTTCTTTTATAATCATTTATTAAGTAGTCATTGGTACATAAAACAGGTACATAATTTAATTCACGTCTGTACAAGTTTTTGGCGCTAAAATCCAGCCGAATACTTTTGCCTAATATTCGGCTATTCGGTCAGGGGCCTCGCCGAATATTCGGTAATCGGTATACTGCCGAATATACTATTCGTTGCAAGTCTACTTTAAACCTCACTCGTTTTGTTTATCAATAATTTTTGCGCCAAATGTACAATGGGGTCTAGCTTAGCATAGTTAAGTAATGGATGAGTGGGTACAGTATATTTAAGATACAAATTTTAAAGTCCTATATTGTCAACACAGTCTCATGGAAGAATTTTTTTTTTTTTTAAATTTAAAAAAAAAAAAAATTTTAATTAAAAGATTCGATTCCAAAGGTTATTATCTATGTTATACATATATACAAAATAGATGTTTATATTATACATATGTAGTTATATTATCAACCTAGCCAATATATGTAGATACTTATATACAGAGGTGTCGGGAACAGTAACGAGTTAACTGTTCTTTGTTTTTTTTTGTTTTTTCCGGTGCGATCCTTTGTCGTTACTTACAGATGTAGCTTCGCTCTCCTTTCTCTATTATATATATCATGGATAGTGCTCCGAGGAATTGGTCTGACTAATACCGGCCGCAACCATCCGCCGTCGTTCCACACGGCAAAATTTTCATCCCCTCCACTTGGATAATTGGATAATAAGATAACCTATTAACTATCTAGATACCTTTTTTTGGTGTCGCTGGAAAATCCCATCCCATCCCACCAAGGAGCCGGCGATCGGCTCCTTGGGGAGTATGTAGTGTTTCCACAAAAAACCACCCTGACGGCCGGCCTTACGCGCCCTGCTCTAGGGAGAACCTGGGCCATGTGATTTCAGGTCCCTTCCAGATCTAAGCCGCACGCCCTATCTCCGGAAAGCCAGTGGCTTCTCCCTGCCTATCGGCCTATCACATTTTTACTGCGATCAGGCTGAGATCCTATTCCCTACCGCAATTAATCTCCCACCAGAGGACCCCACTCTCTGGCAGCCCGCGGTCGTCTTCTTCGCTCGGGATCAGCCTTCTTCCGATCCCGTTCAGCGGGAGCAGTACAGCTTCACAGAAAGATACCAAACTGTTTAGGTACCTTTTTTGTTTTATTTTTTTTTGCTTGTGGTAATCCCCTCGGACCGTCACCCCGCCGGGGCTCTCGTTCGGCGGGGCGGTGTGTCGGACTCGAACCGACTAAAACCACACGGTGTGCCCTCTTTGCGATTCCAGTTTAGGAGAGGTCCAGGTAGTTATCGCCGTCTGGACCCCTCCCAGCGCTGGCCCGCTCCTGTTGCGGGCTCCGTCGCAAAACTTTCCTCTCTTTAGGCGACGTCCGGCACACGCGGACGCCGCCCCCTCGCGGCTAGCCAACTAATGCGGGTGGAGGGGAGAACCCATCCCGTCCACCCGCGGCCACACTCAGGGCGGCATGAGGCGCAGGTAAGCGCGCCTCCGCCACCCGGTTCGCCGGCGGCGGATCAGGTCCGAGTGGAGGTCGTCCTCCCGGGCCTTCTCCGCCGCCTCGAGGAGGTAATCTCGCAGAAGTTTGCGACCGCGGTAAAACAACTGTCGCTACCGGCCATGGAGCGAATTACGGCCGGTAGCGAGAGATCTGCTCCGATGACTGCAGTGAGGGCTCGACGCTGCGTCGCCCATGCGGGGCAAACCGCCAGCGTGTGCTGGGCCGAATCCTCACTGCAGTCGCAGTGGTGGTAGGCGGGACTCGATTCCCTCCTAGCGACCAAGTACGGGTACTTTCCGAAGCAACCGTGCCCGGAAAGCACCTGCGTCAGCCGGAAGGAAAGGGTCCCGTGCTGCCGCCCTGCCCACTCGGCGATGACCGGCTGGAGAGCCTTCACGGCGGCGAAGCCAGCGCGTGGAGTCTCCAGCCGGAACGACCATCTGACCATGGTGGCTCGGCGAGCGGCTTCGCGCCACTCAAGCACGTCTTCGGGCGGAGGGCGAAATCCGCTCTCCGCCCGGAAGTCAGCCACTCATCGATAAACTTCGGCGAGCACTTCCGCCTCCAAATCCCACGGGGTGTTCCGGCCAAGGCGCAAGCCGCCTCGGTGGACACCGTGCGGTATCCGCGTATGGCTCTGACCGCCAACATCCTCTGGGGGCGCCAAAGGCGCGCCCTATTCGGGGCGGTCAGAGCCGCCACCCACACCGGTGCACCATAAAGCGCCATGGACCGGACAACCCCCGCGTACAGCCACCTCGTGGGAACACTGGCCCCGCCCAAATTGGGCTAAAGTCGCCCTAGGGCGGAGGCAGTGTCCACCAGCTTCGGACCAAGCTGTCGGAAGTGCTCGTCGAAGAGCCACCTACCGTCTAGGACCAGACCCAGGTACCTCATCTGGGCCCGGACCGGTACGAGGACCGAGCCGACCTCGATTGAGGCGCCGGCGGGTGGACCACGACGGGGCCCATGAAATAATAGGGCCTCCGTCTTGTCCAGGGCCACCCGCAAACCCAACGCCTCAATGCGCCCGACCACCAGGGAAACTCCCGTGGTGGCCAGGCGCGCCGCCTCCTGGAAGTTAGCCCCCCGGGCCGTGACTAAAGTGTCATACGCGTAGCAGAGTACACCCAGCCCGGGGGGGAGACGCCCTCGTAGGACCCAGTCGTAACCAATGTTCCACAGGAGTGGTCCTAGGACAGACCCCTGCGGAACACCGCACGACATGGCCCTGCGTCTCAAGACGCCATCTCGGTCCTCGTACATGACGGTTCGCTCCTCAAGATAGTCTGCCACCAGCTGCCTCAGGTACTCCGGCACTCCGTGGTAGCGGAGCGCTTCCCTGATGCAGCTAAATGGCAGGCTATTGAAGGCGTTGGCGATGTCCAAGGACACCGCCAACACCACTCCGCCGCAGCTCACGGCCTCCTCGGTCACGGCCCTAAGGCGCATTACGGCATCGATCGTCGAACGCCCCTCTCGAAACTGTTTAGGTACCTAACCTAACCTATATTTCCAGCCATGGTCGTAAAAGAGCAAAAAAAATTGCAGCAGGAAAAGTAGAAGTATCAGAAGAATCTCTATTTGATGCATTCCGAGCAGCAACCACAATACACGGAAGATATTATTCAGAGAGTCATGCTATGCTTGGTCAAACATACGGGGTCTGCATCCTACAGGTATACTTTTATCAGTTTTTTTATAATATTTTTTATTTTATTTTGTAAATCTGTATTATGCAGACTGCTGCACGTAAGGCGTAGTTGTTTAAGCGGTCGCCACACCGCTCACTACTACGCTGAGTGTTGTGGGTCCGATCCCCACATTGGACGACACTTTGTGTAATCCACAAATTGTTGTTCTGAGTCTGGGTGTTCTTTGTGTCCGTTAAATGTATGTTTGTAAAGTCCCCAGCAACTTTGGATTTATTCCTAGTGCATATTATTGTATTACCTATTAACTATTCTCTGCTGTGTTTGTAATTGTTAATATTCTGTACTAAATGATATTTCATATTTCTAGGACTTTGAAAGTTTAACGCCCAATTTAATGGCACGGTGTATTGAAACGGTAGAGGGAGGAGGTTTAATTGTGTTTCTATTGCAAACAATGAACTCATTAAAACAGTTGCATTCTATTATGATGGATGTACATTCATGGTTAGTATCTTTTCAGTTTATTTATTTACTTATTGTTTTTTTTTTCTGTCTAAAATTTTCATAAACGGAATATTTACATAATATAAAACACTGCTATCTTTGGTCGTGTTTTACATCATCCACAGTCTTTAATAGTCCGCTGCTGGACATAGACCTAAGAAAGGAGATTTTGGCCAACTATACCACACTGGCCAGACGGGTTGGTATAGGGTGTTTTAAGTTTTCCTTCTTTTTGCAGTGCAGCTTTGCAGGACCTGTTGTTCTGCAAAGCTTGCCCTTAGTCGGCTCTTACGACACCCATGGGACGAATAGGGGTGGTGACACTCTGTATTCTTCATCCGTCACCACATGGATGCATACTGTTAATATTAAGATGACAATGTACAATTTTATGTCTTGTTTATATTAGAATGCTATAACAGTTAAAACAATAAGCATGCGAGTGGCACATGACTGCACGGATGGTGTAGTGGTTTAAGCGGCCACCTCGCCGCTTACTACTGCGCTGAGTGTTGTGGGTTCGATCCCGACATGGGACACCACTTTGTGTGATTCACAAATTGTTGTTCCTAGTATGGGTGTTCTTTGTGTCCGTTTCGTGTATTTTTTTAAAGTCCCCTGTGACACAGGTTAAATATTCCTAATGTATGTATGTTGTACTTTTTATAAAAAATTAAAATTTACATAATACTTGAGTCCACTAAATTTAACATCTATTTAAACTATTTCTTCTTTAACCTGTTTTACTTTGTTTTTCTCCTTCTTTAGGTTCAAAACAGAAGCATACGACACGGTAGGGAACCGTTTCAATAAAAGGTTCCTGCTTTCACTCGCCGATCATACGCGTTGCTTAGTTCTTGATGATTCGCTCAATGTCCTGCCGATATCATCGAAGACAGCAGAAGTGACACCTGTCGATGCCACACCAGATGTAAGTAACTAGTATTACAAGTACTTTAGTAGTTGAACATTTGTTTTAGAACGTTAATGGTACTAATTCATTATTATCGTAGAATAATGTCGGTTTAGAAAAAAATACTAAATTCAGTTTTTATCATATTTGTATACTACATTGTCTAAATTATATTATTAATATTTAAAAAAATATATATGAGTTTTAGTTTTTTAATTATTCAGTGTTTGTTTGATAGGTGCTCAAAGTAAAATGAATCAATGATTTTTCTAGAAAACTAAAATTATTAGTTATTATTTTTAAAACAAACCCTATTAGTCACTTGTATGCCAATTTTCACAATTACAGATTTAGAATTTAAAAAGTTAAGTCAAAAAAATTACATAATTATTTAAAATGTCTGCCATGTAAAGTTCAATAAATGTCAGATCCGTCACTATTCTACTACCATGACGAATTGTTGTTCAAAAACTCTCTAAACTAAAAAATAACTAAAAATTAGTTCAGTCCTGTCGAGTACCATGTTTGCAGAATATGAAACTTTGTTTGACAGGATTGAAAAAATCAAAATCATTTTTATTTGCATACAACAGTTATAAAGGTAGTACATTACATCATATAAAACACGGGCCTGCACCGACTGCACGGATAGCGTAGTGGTTTAAACGGTCGCCACGATGCTTCCTACTACGCCGAGTGTTGTGGGTTCAAACCCCACACGGGACGACACCTTGTGATCCACAAATTGTTGTTCTGAGTGTGGGTGTTCTTTGTGTCCGTTTCATGTATGTTTGTAAAGTACCCCGCGACACAGGGATATATTCCTAATGCGGGAGTTGTCTTTTTAAAAGGAAAAAAGAAATGGGTGCGCTGTAATATAACCTCTTAAAGGTGTGCAAATATTTAGACATAGATAGTTAAAAGATTATTATCACATATACTTTTGTGACTCCTGAGCTGCAGACGTTCATGGGCGGCGATGGTCACTTTCCATCAGGTGACCCGTCTTCTCGTCTGCCCCCTTTAACATAAAAAAAAAGCATTTTGCTTACCCAGAAGGGTTATCAAAAGTATTACTAATTTGTGATCTTTGTTACCAGTAGTCTTGTAACCTGGTGACGAAATTTCTTTAATACATGTGTTTACAGTCCTTAGAACACTAAAAATAAAATGATACTTTTTTTCTTGCAGAGGGTAAACCAGCGACTGGCGGATCTGATATCGTCACTCTCGGATTCGCCTCCAGCGGGACCGTTGGTAGCACTGTGTCGCACTTACGACCAGGCTACCGCTCTAGTCGCACTTATAAACACCCTCGCTGATAAACAAGCACGGTAAATATTTATAAAACACCCCTATAATAAGTTCGCAACTTAAAATTTTAAGCTGTTTGAAAACGTAATTCTTAGAGCACTTGTAGTAAAAAGTATGTTGATGAATTAAAAATTAACTAAATTATGAAATATTTGTTATCTATACTAATCTAATATATAAAATTCTCGTGTCATAAATTGTGTGTGCGTATCGGGTAGGTCTGAGAATCGGCCAACATATATTTTTCATACGCCTAATTTTTTTTTGCCAATTTTTGGAACGAAGTTCCTTATCGCGCGTTGTGAAAGACGAAAAAAAATCTCACGAAAAGTTGTAACCACACTTTTTAATTTTGAATTGTCACTTGTCAGTCATTCAGCGCCATCCATCGAATACATAGGAAATCATTACTTTTAATCTCAGTAAAATTAAAATTTATTTTCTTAGGTTGAGCAAAAAATATTGTATTCGACATCATTTCTCAAGGAGATTTTACCAATGTATAAATTGTTTTAATTAGAAACCAACTGAAAAATATGTAGGTAATAGCCGCTTTCATAGATGGCGTTGTAATTAAAATCGTGTCGAATCAGTTTTACTCGATCGTCACAACTTCGTTCCTATCGGGTGTCCCACGACACACCACACGGCTTTTTTTTTTAAATAATGTATATGGCAAAACAAAGTTTCATGTAAATGGCAAAACCAAGTTTGCCGGGTCAGCTAGTAATAATATTATAAAGCTGAAGAGTTTGTTGGTTTGAACGCGCTAATCTCAGAAACTACTGGTCCGATTTGAATAAATCTTTCAATGTTAGATAGCCCATTTATCAAGGAAGGCTTTAGGCTATATATCATCACGCTAAGGAGGATCACCAATAGGAGCGGAGCCCCAATAAGAATCTTGCAACAAACGGGAAAAGTTTATTCCTTTTAAAAGACGCAGACGAAGTTGAGCAAGTCAGCTAGTTATAGATAATTTTATTCCGTGTGGTGACGGATTAAGAATGTGTCTCTACCCCTATTCATGCCGTGGGTGTCGTAAGAACCGACTACGCAGGAGCACTGTAAAGAGAAGGAAAACTTGAAACAAACCCTATACCAACCAGTCTCGCCAGCGTGGTATAGTAGGCCAAAACCTCCTTTCTAAAGAGAGCAGAGTCCAGCAGTAGACTATCAAAGGCTGTTGATGATGATGACGTAGATTGGATAGATTTAGTTAATTCATAGATTATCATTAAATTTATTCACACTATATGTTCTTTTTCCACTTTCCAGACCCCCTCATTGTCTTACGGCCGCTCGTGGTCGAGGTAAATCAGCATGTCTGGGTCTTGCCCTCGCCGCTGCCGTATCTTTTGGCTACGTAAACATTTATGTTACTTCCCCACACCCAGAGAACTTGATCACGCTATTCGAGTTCTTATTCAAAGGGCTCGACGCATGCTTATATCAGGAGCATATTGATTACAATATCGTGAGGTCTACTAATCCAGATTTCAAGAAGGCGGTGGTTAGAGTTAACATCTCAAGGAATTCCAGACAAACCGTCCAGGTGAGATGATATGATTAAGGCATATAACTAAGATAAATATTTTTTTTTGGAATATTTTAATTGTTGAATGAATCCCGGGTCGGACTAAATATTTGTATGATCTGCAAATATTTGTTTTGGAGTTTGGGTGTTTCTATGTATAATATGTATGTACTTACAAAAAAAAAAGTATTTAAGTATTCTATCAGTCAATTTAGTTTTCATAGTACGAGCTCTGCTTTGTTTGAAACTAGATAGCGTTGTGTGTCAGATGTCCGAAAAAATATTATGTAATAATGGAGTTACGTTTTGACTATAGTGAGGTAAACAATGCAATATTCTAATTGTTCGATGTATTGCTGACATCGAACACGTGAATTGAATCCTATCAGGCCACGACGGATGGTGTAGTGGTTTAAGCGGTCCCCACGCCGCTCACTACTACGATGTGTTGTGGGTCCGATCCCCACATGGGACGACACTGTGTGATCCACAAATTGTTGTTCTGAGTCTGGGTGTTCATTGTGTCCGTTTCATGTATGTTTGTATAGTGCCCCGCGACACGGGATGTATTCCTAGTGCAGTTGTCTTTTTTAAATTAAAAAAAAACGAGTGTGCTTTAGACCACACGACTGAAGTAAAACTTCTTTGTCTATATGTTGTAATATTAAATTTTTTTTAAAAAAATGTTTTTTTAATGTGAATGTAATCTAATGCGTAAAATTAAAAATTAAATGAATAAACCAACTAGTGCGGCACCACAATTCTAACAAAACTAATAATCTCGGGCGCCAGGTGCCTTAACCTTCAATGAACACAGACAACTAATAACAAATACAATGAATGCCTCGAACAGCTCGCTCAGCGCTAGACCTTTAATCTAGGATGGGGGGCAGCTATTAAATACAAAGATGTTATAAGTTCAAGTGGCAGTTTATTATCCCGTAGTGTCTGTAGAGTACATGGTATATTATAGGTCTAATTACAAATGTAATTCTTATACTCAAATTAGTACTGTCATTAATGCAATCTGTTTACCTTGTTAATACAAATTAAAAGTAAATATTTTTAAAAAGTCACATAAAGACTGTTAAATAGGTAAAGATTTAAGGGTAGTTATCATAACGACCTACTCCCATAATAAAAATAACACCCCTTAGAGCCTGCAGTATCCGTTATGACAACGCCGACAAAATTAATACAACAAAAAAACGTACCCAATGACTGGCTCTGTCCGTTTGAAATTTGGGTATAATTAATTCTTATAAATCTCATTCGTGCTCTGTAACGGTGCATTTCGCACCATTACAGAAAATTGAATCATCGACGTGTTTTTAGTTTGTCAGTTGAATTTTACGACGTTTCAGCGAGCCCCGGTCGGTGACACGGACGAGAATAATAGTCGGTGCTGATCGTCTATGGTAATTTATCGATTTAGTTTTTCTTGTTCTGGCAACATTTGGACGCGTTATAGTGAAAAGGCAAGATGGCGTCACATTGGTTTTCGTCCGAGTCGAAGTAAGATATAGTTTTTAAAAATGTAGTCTTTTTGTTGTAACGAGGGGATGTTTCATATTTTATTGTTTGGCCAGTCTCGTTAAAGACTCAAGTTATTTGTTGGAATTTATATTTTCATTGTAAAGGTAAGTCTTGTTAAGCCACGTGCTTCATACTTGGCTTATGGAGAATAGTTGTTCTAAATCTTTGTTTATTTGGTTACAGGAATTATTTATAATGCCGCTGCTTTGTTTGTGAAACGTTTTGAAACCCTAGTGAGTGGATTATTGTATCTTACCGGATTTAGGATTCATTCTTTTGAGATAGGCAAATAACCTATAATTTTCGTTGTTTCAGATTGAAACAGGGTTTCAATTTATACCTTAATTTATAATTTACACCTTCATTTTAATTTACACCTAAATTTTATTTAAACCTTAATTTCTTGTTATACCTTATTTTCATAACCTCTAGTTCAGTTCTCTTATTGGATTGTAATGTCATTGCGTTACATTTGGATTTTGCCTCACTGCCGGCCTGACCCAAGGATTTAGTTTGCTGCGGAGCACCTATAATGGTAGAAAAAACTGTTTAGCTGCAGTCCATTATCAGGAACCTTGGAATACTACCCCGCCTCTTCCACCACGTGGGACAGGAGTGAGATTTATTAGCCTTAATTTGCCTTCATTTCATTCGGACTGAGCCAAAGTCAATGGTATGTTTTTTTTTATTAATTTGGTTGGCGTCGTGGCATCGGGTACTGCAGGTCCCTAAGGGGTGTTATTTTTATTAAGGGAGCAGGTCGATGCCACAACTACCCTTAGATTCATTTCCTATTAAGTCTTTATGTGACTTTTTAAAACATATTTAATTTTAGTTTGTTTTATTCGTTTATTTGAAACAGATTGCATTAACGACAGTACTAATTTGAGTATAAGAATTACTTATTGTAATTAGAACCTTAAGATACCATGTACTCTACAGACACTACGGGATAATAAACTGCTACTTGAACTTAACATCTTTGTATTTAATAGCTGCCCCCCATCCTAGATTAAAAGTCTAGCGCTGACCGAGTTATCCGAGGCATTTATTGTATTTGTTGTTGGTTGTCTGTGTTCATTTAAGGTGGCGCACCTGGCGCCCGAGTTTATTTGTTTGTTGGAATTTGTGGTGCCCCAGTTAGTTTGTTTGTTTGTTTAGAACACAGATAACATTAACATTACACAAGTATAGCACACACAAACAAATTATTTTTTAATTTTTTTACAATATAATTTCGTTACAACAAAAAGACTACATTTTTAAAAACTATATCTTACTTCGACTCGGACGAAAACCAATGTGACGCCATCTTGCCTTTTCACTATAACGCGTCCAAATGTTGCCAGAACAAGAAAAACTAAATCGATAAATTACCATAGACGATCAGCACCGACTATTATTCTCGTCCGTGTCACCGACCGGAGCTCGCTGAAACGTCGTAAAACGTAAACGTAAAAACACGTCGATGATTCAATTTTCTGTAATGGTGCGAAATGCACCGTTACAGCTCCCACGTGGTTGTAGTGGCGGGGTAAGTATTCCAAGCGTCCTGGCTCCGGTCCCAGGCAGATCCTGATAATGGGCTACAGCCAAAGGGCTTTTCTTGCCATTATAGGTACATAAGAAAGGAAATCCACACTCCGCAGCAAACTAAATCCTTGGATCGGGCAGGTAGTGAGGTAAAAACTAATTGTAACGTAAGGACATTACAATCTAATAAGAAGGAAATCCAATCTAATAAATAAAAGCCCTGTTACACTGCAACAACGAAAATTATAGGTTAATTGCCTATCAATCAATCAATCAATCAATCATTTATTTCGTAAAACACAGGTAAATTCAGATGTTACAAACCATATTTAAAAGATCGCCATGTTTCGCCAATAGGCATACAAAACAATAAAAGGATTTCATTATTCCTGTGCAATACAACTGTTTAAAGTCCAGTAATCATATACTTATTCAATTCAATAAAAATAGACTTTGATTTGATTTCTTAATTAAAAACATACTGATATTGATAAATGATGATTAAATCGGGAAAAATGTTAAAATAATTAAAAATGACAAACTCAATATGTCAAATAATTAACAATCAAAAAAGTCGAACTAAATATGTCAAAATAATGAATAATCGAAAATGTCAAAATAATTAAAAGTTCAAAATACTAAATAAAATGTCAAAATAAATTAAATTTTTTAAAACAATAATTACAACGTCAAAATAAATGTCATTTACAAATACCTAATCATATACATAACTAATTGAAGTCAAAATTTATCATTCAGAAAATCTATTATGGAGTAGTATGCTTTGTCAATAAGTAATTTTAAGAGATTGCTTTTAAATTCATTAAAATTTTTACGGTCTCTTATTTGTTTTGGTAAATGATTGTACAGCTTCGGTGCCATTGCGTATACACTTTTATGTAGAAGTGCTGTTTTGGCTTTTAATAAGTGCAATTTGTCGGAGCGACGTTGACTTTCTATAAAAGAAAATAGAGAAATGTTATTTCTCACGAACATGCAGACTTCATAAATGTACATAGATGGAAATGTCAATAGTCTTAGTTTACAAAAGTGTGGCTTACATGTATCAGTGCTTTTTAGTTTACACATAGCTCGGAGACATTTCTTTTGAGCTATAAACACGTCTTGCTTATTTGTGGCATTACCCCAGAATATTATGCCGAACCTTAAGGTCGATGACACAATGAACCTATCTCCAAATATTAAGTCAAGGTCTGGTAAGATACAATAATTTACTCACTAGGGTTCCAAATCGTCTCACAAATAAATCAGAGACGTTACTTATAATTCCTGTAACCAAATAAACAAAGATTTAAAACAACTTCTTTTTTCTTTTTTTTTTTTTCTTTTTTAAAAAAGACAACTCCCGCATTAGGAATAAATCCTGTGTCGCGGGGGACTTTACAAACATACATGAAACGGACACAAAGAACACCCAGACTCAGAACAACAATTTGTGGATCACACAAAGTGTCGTCCCATGTGGGGTTTGAACCCGCAACACTCGGCGTAGTAGGAAGCGGCGTGGCGACCGCTTAAACCACTACGCCATCCGTGCAGTCCTAACTAGTCTCCATAAGCCAAGTACGAAACATGTGACGGAACAAAACTTACCAAAATAGTTAAAATGACAATTCCAACAAACAACTCGTTTCCTTAACGAGACTGGCCAACAATAAAAGTTGAATTAATCCTCTGATTACAACAAATGAATACGGATTACAAATGTTAAAAATTATAATGGCCCAAAACCCTTCTTATCCAAACCGGCAGATGCCAAAAGTGAACATCCCAAGTTGCCAGAGCTAAAGTTCCGTTTCGCCCTAGAATGCGACAAAAAATGTTGCCAGAACAAGAAAAAACTAAAATCGAAAGTATACCATTGTCGATTAGAACAAACCAACAGATCTCGTCCGTGACGCCGTCTATCGGAGCTTACTGAAACGTCAGAAACTTCAACTGTCAAACAAAAAACACGTCGATAATTAAATTTTCTGTAATGGTGCGAAATGCACCGTTACACTGTATGTATATATATATATATATATATTTATATATATATACATATGTTTATGTAAGTAGTTATGAGAGAAAGTGAGACAGAAAATGTGTGTTCGCACCTCTCTATTGCTCCTACAGTAATATACGAAATGTAATTCTCTCTTTTTATCTTCACTAACTTATATCTCCCTCTAAACTTCCGTTCGTCTCGCCCGATCACACTTTTCGTAACGCTCTCGTCACGCATTCACCAGCTTACTCCAAGCGTGCGTAAAGAAGTTTAATTTCAAAAAAATATAGACACAAGGATATACATACAAATAAAAAATACATCATATAATACAAATCTTATATATAAAATTCTCGTGTCACGGTGTGCGTGGTTGAACGTGAAATTTTGTGTATATCGGTTAGGTCTGAGAAGCGGCCGACATCTATTTTTCATACGCCTATTTTTTTTTTTGTCAAAAATTTGAAATAATGTATATGGCAAAACAACGTTTGCCGGGTCAGCTGGTATACATATACGGAACGAACGTTACTTGCAGTACATAGCCCCCGACGACCACTCGCTGCTGGGCGCGGCGGACCTGGTGCTGGTGGACGAGGCGGCGGCGGTGCCGCTGGTGCACGTGTCGGCGGTGGCGCAGCGCGCGCCGCTGGCGCTGCTGGCCTCGACCGTCGCCGGCTACGAGGGCACCGGCCGCGCGCTCAGCCTCAAGCTCTTCGCGCAGCTGCAGACCCTGCACGGGGCTCCGCCACCGGTAATCTCTTTATTTCTCTTCCAGTCAACCTTTGGGTGGTGTAGAAATCTTGTAAGGTAGGTATAATCTTGTAATGGAAGGTAGGAAATCTTGTAATTTTCCATTTAAACATTACAGTTAAACACTCAGACCGATGCATTACCCTGTATAAATATTTGCATGGAATGGCTTCGAATCCGTGACATCCGACTGCTGTAGTATGAGGCACTACGCTGCACCATAATAAACGTTCGTTGTCGTTCCACAAATATAAAGTTTAATTCATTGGAGAATTCGATGATTATTTTCTATTAGGCTAATAAGTGTTCCTCTACACTAATTAGACTAATGGGGGTCATGTCCCTCAAACGAGGGATGTTCCTGTGACTGGGCGAGGTGATCATGCCAAGCGGGCCAAGGCCCAACGGTTGAATTTGAGAAGTTGTATATACTCGTATGCTAATCGGCGAGAGAATTGTTCATATCGCGATACAAGATCAGCAGTTACTCTGTAGTTCGGTGTGCCTTCGTTAGATGGCGCTGTAGTATGTTTTTTTTTCTCTGTATGTGGCGATCGCCACATAAGCTCAAGCTATTGAATTATGTCATTTGGATGTCATATTAATGTAATGTCCGTAGATAAAATTAGAGGAACCTATCCGCTACCGGTCCGGAGACCCCGTGGAGAGCTGGTTGAACGGCCTGCTGTGCCTGGAGGCGCCGCCGCTGGCGCCGGGCGCTGGGGCTCCGCCCCCCGCCGCGTGCGAGCTGTACCGCGTCAACCGGGACGCGCTCTTCTGCTACCACAAGGCGGCAGAGGTCTTCCTGCACCGCCTCGTCTCTATATACGTAGCCAGCCATTATAAGGTAACTATGCACTATAATAATAATATTGTTCCACATTCACACAACGCCATCTAGTCCCAAACTAAGCAGAGCTTGTACTATGGGTACTAGACAACTGATATAAATACATATATACATTTTTTTTTTTTGTAAATACATACATATTATACATAGACACACCCAGACCAAATCAAACATTAAATGTTCATGCACACATATGTTTGACTTGAGCTGGAATCGAACCTGCGACCTTTGGAATAGCAGTCCGTTACACAAACCAATACGCTATTCGATCGTCACTTGCTTAATACCGAAATGCTTAATAGCAGTTTTCTGTGAGGCCGTGGTATCACTCCGGTCGAGCCGGCCCATTCGTGCCGAAGCATGGCTCTCCCACGTAAAACGTTTAGATCAGCTGATACCTAACAACGGTATAATACGTGTCTGAGATTAATGTACTCGTTCATAAAACTGGCATATCTCCGGTATTCATAGTGTGCGAATATATGTCTATGTATCTATATAAATATAATTGAATATATATGTATGTGTGTAATTGTATATATGTGTATGTATGAGTTTATATATGTAGCGAACCGTTACATATACTTTCACTTATTACTTAATATATTAAGACGTAACCTCTGTGCACCTACCTTACAAGATTTCTACACCACCCAAAGGTTGGCTGGAAGAGAATGCCCTGGGCATTAAGTCCGCCGATGTACAATAGTGCATAAAGTTAAATAAATAAATAAATAAAGACTACAATAATCAAATTAATTTCAAATCTCAAAAGACATCAATAAAATACCAAAATTTTTAAAAAAGGCTCACTTGAGCATAAGGTGCAAACAAGCAGACGGGTCACCTGATGGTAAGTGAGTACCACCGCCCGTGGACCTGCAAGTGCGTTGCCGGCCTTTTAGGAAGGAGCACGCTCTTTTATTGAAGGTCGTATCGGTCCGGAAATACCGCAGACGATAACTTATTCCACAGATTGGTTGTGCGAAGCAAAAGACAAATCCCGCATTAGGAATATATCCTGTGTCGCGGGGGAATTTACAAACATACATAAGACGGACACAAAGAACACCCAGACTCAGAACAACAATTTGTGGACCACACAAAGTGTCGTCCCATTACACATTCTTTTTTTTGTTTTTTTTTTTTGCCGTGCGGAAATCCCCTCGGATACCACCTGTCGGTGGCATGTCGGACTCGAGCCGACTAAAACCGCACGCCGTCTCGGGTACTAATAGCCGGGGAACCAGGTATACCCTAGAAAGGAAATCCCTGGTGCCCGTCCCATTACACCTAATGATGTCTTTTGAGATTGATTCGTCTTCGGTACTCGCGTTAGGACGTCACGTTAATAGTTTGCTCCGCACTTATAAATTCAGTGAACCAGTTAAATACAACTTTTAGACAAATATACTACAATACTGTGAAAGACAAGCAAGTGATGTATACAGTGTCGAAAACTTTATCTTGTTTTTTCATCATATAACAAAGTTCTAACTAAAAACATTTTACAAAAATCAAAATTTTGATCCATTATCCCTGACCTACGACAACCCGCGCATCGCTTGTTACCATCGTTTTTGCGGACACCTGCACATCGCCGCGCTCGGCTGCTGTTCCTGGAATTTCGATTACCTACGCTTAGTGTGTGTGTGTTCGGTGTCCATACAGCGCTGTATTGCTACGCGGAAAGTGCCGTCTAATATCGCAACAATAACAAACAGCGCTTTATTGCTTTAGAACACCAAGATGCCTACGAATTGTAAAGCTTGCGGTAAGACTATAAAAGCAAATAATCTTATGGACTGTTCCAAGTGTAAATGCCATTATGATCTGCAATGCATAAATATAAGTTTAGAAGCTTACCAGAAATTTACTTCTAACTTCAAGCTAACTTGGTTATGCCCCACCTGTGTATGTTTACTGCCGAAACGTGGAAATACCACCACTCCAGCTCACAACTCGATCTTAAATTCCGATGACCAGGGTGATAACGTTAACACAGTACGTGGCTCTAAAATTAAATCTACCACCAACCCTGATTGTACACTAAGTGAATTAGTGCAAGAAATCCGTGAGCTTAGACTTGAAGTAAAAGAATTAAAGCAGAAAAACTACGACATCAGTTTATTAAGACAAGACGTACAGGAACTAAAAGAACAACTTGCAAGCCTTCCAAATTTACAGAATTACTTAGATTTTCAAAGAACAATAGAAGCCAAAGACAAAGAGATAGGCAGCTTAAAAATAACGTTATCCCAGTTACATTCAACGGTCAGCTCCTTAGAGCAAAATACACTAAAAAATGAAATAGAGGTTTGTGGTGTCCCTGAGGTAAATAATGAAAATCTTCTACATGTGTTATTAACATTATCAAACAAAATAAGTGTAGAATTACACGAAACTGACATAGATAATATATCCAGAGTGGGCCCTAAGCAGAAGTTAGAAAAAGAAACTATACGGCATCGCCCCATTGTCGTCAAATTAACCAGGAAGGCAAAGCGAGATGAACTAATTAAGGCAGCCAGGTCTCGCAAAAACCTTACCTCAGATAACATCGTGAATGGTTTAACCTCTAAAATATATATTAATGAAAGAGTCACAAAGGAAAAGAGACTGTTATTTCGTGCCAGCAGGGAGAGGGCTCACAACAATGGGTTTCGATTCTGTTGGTTACGAAATGGAACAATTTTCATTAAAAAAGGAGAAAATAATAATGATAATAGACACCCTGCCATACGCATACAGACGACTGAAGACCTGGACAAGTATCTTGGTTTACCCCAAGCAACAAGTAACGAGTAGTTTTAATTCACTTTATTTTCCTTTTGTTTTTATGTTTTTCTACTTTTTAATTTGTATTTTAATTCAAATTTTATTTTGCTCTTTCTTTACATTACTTGCACATATAACTAATTGGAGCTCACAAATATTTAACATTTTAATAAACATCACTGACTTGACAACGCTTCAAACAAAGTTACCAAAACAAACACACAACACAATAACTCAATACATCTGGGCCGATTGTACATCACAAAACACAAATTCAATAAAACACATATACATCATATCACAATTCATATTATCCTATAGAATGACATTTACAAAAACTTATAGACTGCCTAAAACATCACAAATAATAATATTACCCAATCACAATGACTACACTTGATATGATGCAATTTATTGATAATGCGTATAATATAAAATGTCATTCTATAAGTGCACCAGAAGACTGTCATAATATTCTGCAGAGACATATGATAAAAATACTTACTTTGAATATTCGAAGCATTAACCGCAACTTTGATAGCTTACTGTTAGTTATGAAAAGGCTCAACATCGATCTTGATTTTATTGTCCTAACTGAGTGTTGGATAAACGAAAGTTTCACGTTACCACCTATTCCGGGTTATAGAGGCTTCCATACTACAAAATATATTAATAGGTCAGGCGGAGTAGTAGCATATGTAAGGGATATTTGGTCGCCGAGTGTATATGAACCAGATATTGATGACGCAAACTGTCTAGCTATATATGTCCCAGACATTATAACTGTGTTAGGAATCTACAGATCGCCATCATTTAAAAATATAGATCGTTTTGTTAACTCTTTGCAAAATGCTAGCCAAATTTTAAATAAAAAGCCATGCACCATTTTTACTGGCGATATCAATATAAATATATCCTATTTAGACAGCAACGATACCACAACATACCTTTGCACTATGGCTGAACTAGGCCTAGTGCCAGCTATTAATAAGCCTACTCGATATGATTCCTGCCTTGATCACGTATTCTATAAGGGAGAGGTCGATGTGGAGACTATAGTCTGCTCTTCAGCAATATCTGACCACGACCTTGTCATTACTGGTCTAACAGCAACGGCCACAACATCAACATCACCTCCAAGGTACAAATGCCTCCTTAACTACGACTCCATTTCAGAAAAGCTCAGCAATGTAGATTGGTCTAAGATGATGAAGATACAGAATGTGGCTGACCAAACAGAACATTTTATGAATATTATAAACAATATAATCAAAGACAACACTAAATTAATTAGAATAAGTCGCTCAAAGATAATTCTTAAGCCGTGGATGACGGAAGGGTTGCTAAGATGCTCACGTGTTCGTGATAAATTACACCTCGAGGCTAAACAAATGCCAAGAAACGAAGTGAAATCACTGATTTATCTGAGGTATAGAAATTTTTATAACTCTCTAATTCGTAAAATACGAAATGAATATGAATGTACATTGCTGAAAAACTCGAAAAATCAACCACGACAACTCTGGCAGACTATTAATAAAATCTCGCATAGAAAAGTAGTAACGAAATCACCTGCGTCAGATCTAATACTTTTAAATTCCTGTCCGCAAGACTCCCTAAATCTTTGTAATGAATATTTTACATCGGTAGGACAAAAATACGCTAACGATATCTTAAACAATCTAAATACAACACAATCAGCTTTGGCACTAAATATCGACACTTCACCATCTCCTCCAAACTCATTCTTCTTCGAACCAACTGATAATACAGAAATAGAACACATAATTATGAATCTAAAGAATGACAGTGCCCCAGGACTAGATGGAGTTACTAACCGACTCATAAAGAAAGTCAAAAATCATATTGTGGAACCGCTAACCTATATTATTAACCAAAGTTTATCAACCGGAATCGTTCCTCAAGAATGGAAGACTGCTGTTGTTGTACCTATACATAAAGGGGGAGAAACCAATTTGGCTAACAATTATAGACCAATTTCCTTGCTCTCTGTCTTTGCTAAGATACTAGAAAGAGTAGTCAACAAACGTGTAGTTAAGTACATTGAGGAGAACAATATTTTATCAGACAGTCAGTTCGGCTTTTGGAAAGGAAGGTCCACTGAAGACGCCGTAAATTTATTGACAAATGAAATTGTTACAAATCTAGACAATGGCCTTGCGTGTATCGGAATCTTCTTAGATCTCGCAAAGGCCTTTGATACTGTTGCAATTCCAATCTTACTCAAGAGATTGGAAGGCATTGGAATAAGGGGAACCGCGCTAAACTGGTTCCGAAGTTACTTGACGGAAAGGAAACAATGTTTAAAGGTGGACTCCTTGCACAGTACCTTGCAGGAAACTTCTTTTGGAGTTCCTCAAGGGAGTGTGTTAGGCCCGACTCTATTTCTTCTGTATATAAATAACCTGACGACCTTACCACTTAGAAATGCAAAGATGATCTGCTACGCGGATGACACAGCAATAATATTTCATGATTCCACTTGGGCCAACTGTTTTGCCACGGCTGAACAAGGTATGGCGATTATAGCTAAATGGCTTCACAATAATTTATTAACTTTAAATACTAGCAAAACCAAATATTTATGCTACCACAAAACTGCAGCTTCTTCTCCAGCCTTAAGCCCAAACATTCCAATTCACACATGTAATTTTGATCAGACTATTTGTAATTGTAATAAAATACAAAGGTCACGAAGCATGAAATATCTAGGAGTAATTCTAGATGATAAACTCTCTTACAAAGACCACATCGTGGCAACTGCAGCTAAAGCAAGGAAACTAATTTACGTTGTAAGACAACTTAGAGATGTTGCTGATTTACATTTATTAAAAACGATATATATATCATTGTGTCAATCCATCCTGACTTACTGTTTAAGTATCTGGGGAGGCTCAGCTGTAACACACTTGATTATCTTAGAAAGGGCTCAGAGATCAATTTTAAAAGTTATGTTGAATAAACCGTTGAGATTCCCAACCACTGAACTCTACAAAGAAGCCCAAGTATTGAATATAAGACGATTATACATATTTCAAGCCATCATTTCCACACATAAAAACGTGTTAAACGCCCCTGATTACAATAAAATGCTCAAGCAAAGAATTTTCAAAGTCCCTGTTCCTAGAAACAAATCATCCTTCGCAAACCGCTTTCAAAAGTTCATGTTTCCATTTATTTACAATAAGGTTGTCAATAGATATAATTTCAAACAGGATACAATACGGGACGCTAAACTGAAAATCAGTAAAATCATGAGCTGTCTTAACCATAAAGAAACCGAACAATTGCTAAAAATCTTAAAATAAGAATGAAAACTGACAGACAGACGAATACACATACTTAGACATGTACACACAAACACACACACAGGCTCACAAACTATCACACACACTCACACACACTCACATAGCTCCAACTTAAACTTAGTCAATTAAATAAATATAGATTGTAGTAAACTGCGATCTCTTCCTATTGTTTCATATGAGATTTATATAAGATTGTATTATTATTGCTACTGTCCTAATGTATAATCGTTTTTGTATTGATAGCCTCGATACAGGCTAAGCCTAGTGTGGCTATCATTGTTAAACAAATTTTGTAAATCTTTACTTTAAATAAAAAAAAAAAAAAAAAATATTATTATTATTATTAAAAATATACGATAAGATTATCATGTTATACTAACTATGGTTAATTTTTTTTATTTATCTTTACAGAACAGTCCTAATGACATCCAACTCCTAGCCGATGCGCCCGCGCATTGTCTATTTGTTCTGCTCGCACCAACGCCTGCGAGTAGCACATCAATACCGGAAATCCTATGTGTAATACAGATGTGTTTCGAGGGGAATATATCCTCCAAGTAAGTCTATTGTAATAATGTCATGCTTAATAAAAATGATAATATGGATTATTATTATTATTATTAAGCAGTTGGATTAAGGGCCTGATGCAGAAAGCAGTTCTTCTCGATACGGCACGTATTGTGAGGAAGTTTCTGTCTCTGGAGTCCTAACCACCGATATCTTGGTCCCTGTACCCGATACCGATGGGATAATATTTTTTATATTTTTTTTTTTTTGTTTTTGAATATAAATATAAATAGATAGATGGGTACTCTTTATTACACACCATAATTAGGATACATGCGATGATACATACAAAAAAAAAACAGTGATACCATGGCCTTATCGCAGCCTGCGTATATTTAAAAATGAAATTTATTTGTTTTTTCCTTCTTTTTTTATTTTTTTTTGTATTGGGGTTTTTATCCACGTGGATACGTCAACCCCATCGTGCCTTATGCTATCTACCTTTAACACATTCTTAAAACTGATAAGATAAAGAGAAATACTAATCAATGAAGTAAACTAATTGACTTAGTCTTTTTGCCACTTCTGATTTTGGTTGTGCCAAAATTGTTTGTACCAACCCCACGTCTAATATATTTGAAATTTATTTGTATAATAAATGAAATGAACAGAATAATAATAATATATTTATTTGACAGAATATGAATATACAGAGTTGTTAGTAGGTACATTTTAGATGCTAGCCACATTCTACCATTGCCTGGTGAACAAAATGTTAGTAAACTTAATTTATGTTTTTTTTCGTCGAGGGGCGGGGCTGGATTGATGCGTCAGTATTTTCTTAACCCGAATGGACTATAATTACTCTTGTATCCGCAGGTCAGTCCACGACGCCATGGGGCGCGGCCGCAAGGCAGCCGGCGACCTGATACCCTGGAACATTTGTGAACAGTTTGGGGACAGGGACTTCCCCAAGTTGTCTGGTGCTAGGGTCGTCAGAATAGCCACGCACCCTTCGTATCAACGTGTACGTATTTAGCATTAGCAAGTACTGTTCTAATGTGGCTTAAAAATCTTTATAGAATACCTTTTGTTATCGACGGACTCATCACCTAAGCAGTATTAAAATTGTTTGATATTTTAGCTTTTTTCTAATTTTATTTCTATGATGAGACAATGTCCGTGTGATGACGGATTAAGAATACAGAGTGCCACCACCCGTATTCATCCCGTGGGTGTCGTAAGAGCCGACTAAAAGAGCAAACTAGGCAGAACAACAGCACTGCAGAGAGAAGGAAAGCTTGACACAAACCCTATACCAACCCGTCTGGCCAGCGTGATATAGTAGGCCAAAACCTCCTTTCTAATGAGAGGCTTATGTCCAGCAGTGGACTATTAAAGGCTGTTTATGTGATGAGAAAATGAGAGAGACGACACACAGAACAATTCTTAACAAAGAAAAAATATTTAATCTGCAGGTTTAGTAGTTTCTTGGCTTCTAGTGAATATAACTTAAAAAATAAAATAAAATTTTGTGTTCCCTCTAACAGATGGGATACGGTAAACGTGCTCTGCAACAACTGGCCGCGTACTACTCCGGCGATATACCCTGTCTCGACGAAGATAAGTCTGATGAGGAAAAGTCTGATGAAGAAGACTCAGCCAGTACACATACGAATACATTGCGCACAGAGATTATTGTGCCCAGGTACATTTTCACTTTTTTCTTTAAAACGACAGAGCCGAGAGCAGGGTGCGCATGCGCAGGTACCTACAGTCAAGTCGACTCGACTGTACGTAGACAGGAATATGCGCGCAGTATACGCATGTAACACACACTAAAAGGCATGCGGGTCGTGTTTGTCCCGCTGCTGTCTATTATTGTGTTCTGCGCATCGAAACGCACGATCTACCGAGTCGCTATTCAGTTTGCATCGGACTGTATCTCTGTATCTGTCTGTCTGTGACATCATAGCTCCCGAACGGTTCGGCCAATTTCGATGCGGAGATTTTTAATCGAAATCCGATGTGATCGAGATAGTTCTTAGCTACAAATATTAAAGGTCATCAGCTCACTTTCTAGATGATGAACGGATCTCACTACAATCCACAGGTCCAATTGATCTGAAATTTGGTATGCTGTTACTTTGATGGTATCTCCACGACATGGCAACCTGGAACTTGCTACTCCATCATGTATTCTGTGGGATAGCCAACTTCACAGAAAATTACTGCAGAGAGAAATAAATATGCCCGTGTGGTGACGGATTAAGAATATGAAGTATCCCCAGCCCTATTCATCCAGTCCACTACTAGTCATAGGCCTCTCTTTACAAAGGAGGTTTTGGCCTACTATACCACGCTGGCCAGGCGGGTTGGTATAGTAGTCCAGTCATTATAGTAAGTTCACCTCGGAATTCGAGATACCCAGCTGTAAGTCTGTAAATACTTGTATATGGACACCCTAAAAGTTGTCTCAAAACCTACATATGGTAGGGTGTAAGCAACTATTAAATTTCAAGGTCAAAAGTCACAAAAATCGGTTTATTGCGCTTTTTTTGGAAATATCTCATTTCCTATGGGTTTCTGCTATTTGTATTCATTATCAATATGGTAGAATACAAAATTCTCTACAAATTTTGTTTAAAGAATTTTTTAATACGGTGAACCGTTTTCGAGATAGAGGGCGGAGAGCGCGCGGTCACAGCATCACTTCAGGTCAACCGGTGCCTCCGGTCGAAAACGCGCCATATATAGTAGATGAATAACTATCGATAAATCAATGATTATAAATAAAAATTGTTCGGCCCAGAGATTATTAGAGAGTGGAACTCAAACCTTATTGGCAGTCTATAATGCTCCGAAATCTGTGAAAAGTCTCGATCATCTTCGTTATATGCATTACGTCAAGTCTACAAAACTTAATAAACCTGTGCATCTTTCAAATATTCCACCAACAAGTGCAGCTGGTCCTCAACATTTCAACCGTGTATATTATCAAGTTCAAACTTGGTTAGGACATGATTTGGAACCCCAGGTATGGGGTTGGACAATGCGAAATGATTTTCTGGAGCCTATCATGACAATTTTAGCACCTGCTCCAGAAGATTTGCTAAATACAATTTTCTGCAACTGCAAGAGTGGTTGTGGTTCGCGATGCGGATGCAGGAAAGCGGGCTTGCAATGCTCTTTAGCTTGTGGCCAATGTAATGGGCAAGCTTGTCTCAATGCTCTACCATATCAGAGCGACATTAACGAAGATGGAACCTTTGACCCCGAAATCGTGGAAAAACTTGAGACAAATGTCGTTGAAGACGATAATGAAGACCAGTTTCAAATTTACCAGCAGCCAGAAGACGACGATGAAGAGGAAGAAGATGATTAAAATTATAAATTGTAATTTTTGTAACCTTTATTATATTTTTTTACTTTCAATAAAAATAAATGTATTCAATTATATTTTTTAATAAAAAGATTAATTCATAATTTATTGTTTTTTTTTTTCATCATGTAAGAAGTTATTAATATTAATTAGGTTAAAATTCAAATATAATTCCTACATTTTCATTAACAATTCTTCAATTACATAGGCAGGTAAGTGTTGTTAAATAAATTAATACTGAATAAAAAGTGGATAAGTTAGGAAAAAAATGATAAAATATAATATAATAGTTAATAAAAATTGACAAATATTTATAATCATTGATTTATCGATAGTTCATCAACTATATATGGCGCGTTTTCGACCGGAGGCACCGGTTGACCTGAAGTGATGCTGTGACCGCGCGCTCTCCGTCCTCTATCTCGAAAACGGTTCACCGTATAAAAAAAATATTTAAACAAAATTTGTAGAGAATTTTGTATTCTACCATATTGAAAATGAATACAAATAGCAGAAACCCATAGGAAATGAGATATTTCCAAAAAAAGCGCAATAAACCGATTTTTGTGACATTTGACCTTGAGATTTAATAGTTGCTTACACCCTACCATATGTAGGTTTTGAGACAACTTTTAGGGTGTCAATATACAAGTATTTACAGACTTACAGCTGGGTATCTCGAATTCCGAGATTCTTACCTAATTTAAGCTTAAATGACTGGACTATAGGGTTTGTTTCAAGTTTTCCTTCTCTATGCAGTGCTGTTGTCCTGGGTAGTTTGCTCCCTTAGTCGGCACTTACGTCACCCACGATTACAGGCTGTTGATATGGCATAAATATATGTATATGGTATATATATATGTATATATATATATACCATATTTGGGCTTATTAAAACAGTCTCAAGAAGCAGTTGTTGTTTTTTTAAGTTTTTTTATTGTGCGAAGGTTTTTAATGATGCTATTATAAATCAAAAAGTAGGCAGAATAAAAAGAAATAATGTAAAAAACTATTCGTATTTTGTATGCTGTTGTGAGCTGCTGCTATGTCTAGAATTGTTTAATATATTGGACTTGACATTTAAATGTGATCACTCATGTGAGTGTGTTTTCTTATAAACTTGTAAGAACCTAAAACTCTGTACGGGATGTATTTGGAGACACATTGAACCAGATCTCGAGTATGACTGCCCATTTATTATAATATATAAGAGATTTCCACGTATATAGTCACTCATCACGATATCTCTGGAACCATCTATACTAATATTATAAAGCTGAAGAGTTTGTTTGTTTGAACGCGCTAATCTCAGGAACTACTGGTCCGATTTAAAAAATTCTTTCAGTGTTAGATAGCCCATTTATCGAGGAAGGCTATAGGCTATATATCATCACGCTAAGACCAATAGGAGCGGAGCACCAATGAAGAATGTTTAAAAAACGGAGAAAATTTATTACTATTGAGAGACGCAGACGAAGTTGCGCGGGTCAGCTAGTTAGAGATAAAGACTTGAAATTTGGTAGGAATATTCTTTTCACCGAGTAGAGGTCAGCTAAGAACGGATTTTAAGAAATTAAAAAAAAAAACAATTAAATAATGTAAATAGCAAAACAACGTTTGCACGGTCAGCTAGTTTATTATAATATTAATCGGTTAAATAAGATAGAAATGGGGTTACACGTTAAACATAATTACAATATGATTTCTTAGGCATCCTATACACTACAACTTTATAGACACCACTAAAATACAGCGGAGTACAGTTGTATTTTATGTTATTATTTTTAATACGTATTTTCTATTTCAATTAATTTAAACACATAAAAACTCATATTTAAAAATAAAAATTATTTACCGTTGATTTATTAGGCGTTAATATTTTGGGCATCTGACACACAACGCCATTTAATTTCAAACTAAGCATAAAACAAATTAAATTATATTTTTTTTGTTTACTAAATAGAATAATACTAATATTTCTACTAAGGGAATGTGGAATGGAACCCCTACTAAATGATCCATTTTTTTTTAATTTCTTAGGTCTCGTGGTATAGGAATATTCAGTAATAGATAGTTTTTTTATTGCAGAGCAAAACCACCGCCTTTACTGAAACGTCTATCAGAGGTGCGAGCTGAACATTTGGACTACTTGGGCACCAGCTTCGGACTAACGGAAGACTTACTTAAGTTCTGGAAATCACAGAAATATGTACCTGTTTATTTGAGGTAATTATTAGACTTTAATAATCGAAACATAACATATATATATTTTTTTTTTTTTTTAAAAGACAACTCCCGCATTAGGAATATATCCTGTGTCGCGGGGGACTTTACAAACATACATGAATCGGACACAAAGAACACCCAGACTCAGAACAACAATTTGTGGATCACACAAAGTGTCGTCCCATGTGGGGTTTGAACCCACAACACTCGGCGTTGTAGGAAGCGGCGTGGCGACCGCTTAAACCACTACGCCATCCGTGCAGTCATGCATATTAATGCAAGTGTCATTAAACAAAACATCTTATGGGATTAAATATTGTTACACGCTGCGGCGGAGGATATCGTTACATGGTATAAAATGAAGTCTCCTTTAGTTGTTGTACGCTTAGATCTTTTAAACTACGCAACGTATTTTAATGCGGTTTCCACAAATAGAGAGAGTGATTCAAGAGGCAGGTTTATATTTATAATACATGCATATTATAGTAGAGGGAATCGAGAATTTCAAAGGTTTGTAATGTAAAGTCGTGTTTATGTGCGATTACTTTGCAAACGCTTGCTTAACCTTACGAGATAGACCAAAATAATGTACTACGGAATTGTTTATCTTAAAAAGATCTACAAAAAAGTCCGCGATAGTATATGTCTATCTCCTAAGTATAACCCGTCTTAACCATTTTTATCTTTTACATATGAGAAAGTAATGAGATATTTACGAAACTATTTTGAACAGTATTATTTCTTTTCAAAATAAATACCTTAGTTACGTTGTGCATTTAATGTAGATCAAATTGCCGTTCAAAGAATATCACTAAAATTAATATCTAAGCAGATATCAGAGATTTAAAATGCGGGGCAAAGCGGCCGTCGGGTTTATAAATATTGCATATAAAGGTGTCCTGTACTATTAGTTATTATAATAATAGTATAAATTAATTACTCCACACCGACCCTATTTCACCCGTGCGAAGCCAGGGCGGATCGTTAGTTTAAAATATAATTAAAAATACTTTTTAATATGCCAGTTATTGTTGCCAGTATTGTTTGACTGAAATTTAAAACTTTTCGAAAAAAGCTGTTACCCTATTATGTAATCGTTTTATGAATATTTTTATGCGTTTGCTTGTGCATATGAATGTAACCATGTCTCGTCGTGAAAAACATTGCTTTACGTTGTTTAGAAATCGAGTGATGCTTTATTTTTTCATTACGTTTTTTGACAGTCAAAAAGCGAACGAGTTGACAGGCGAGCACTCGTGTATAATGCTGGTCGCGCTGGGCGACAACTCGTGGCTGCGCGCCTACAGCGGGGACTTCCGCCGCCGCGTGTCGCGCCTCCTGGGCCGCGCCCTGCGCCACCTGCCCGCCGCACTCGCGCTCTCACTGCTCGGGGGGGACTGCGGCAAGGCGGACAGGCCAGGTTTGTGTATAGTGTTGGTCGCGCCACCTGCCCGCCGCACTCGCGCTCCTCACTGCTCGGGGGGGACTGCGGCAAGGCGGACAGGCCAGGTTTGTGTATAGTGTTGGTCGCGCCACCTGCCCGCCGCACTCGCGCTCTCACTGCTCGGGGGGGGACTGCGGCAAGGCGGACAGGCCAGGTTTGTGTATAGTGTTGGTCGCGCCACCTGCCCGCCGCACTCGCGCTCTCACTGCTCGGGGGGGACTGCGGCAAGGCGGACAGGCCCGGTTTGGTTTAGGTTGGGCGCGCCACCTGCCCGCCGCACTCGCGCCTCACTGCTGGGGGGATGGGCAAGGCGGACAGGCCCGGTTTGTGTATAGTGTTGGTTTGCGCCACCCGCCCCCCCATCGCGCTTCATGCCGGGGGGGGCTGCGGCAAGGCGGACAGGAGTTTGTGTATAGTGTTGGCGCGCCACTGCCCGCCGCACCGCGCTTCACTGCTCGGGGGGGAGCGGAAGGCGGACAGGCCAGGTTTGTGTATAGGTTGGCGCGCCACCGCCCCCCCGCACTCGCGCCCAGTCGGGGGGGGGCGCGGCAAGGCGGGCAGGCCAGGTTTGTGAAGTGGTTTGGGCGCGCCACCCTGCCCGCCGCACTCGCGCTTCATGCCGGGGGGGACTGCGGCAAGGCGGACGGCCAGGTTTGTGTATAGTGTGGTCCGCCACCGCCCGCCCGCACTCGCGTCTCATGGGGGGGGCTGCGGGAAGGGCGGACAGGCCGGTTTTTGTATAGGTTGGTCGCGCCACCTGCCCCCCCACTCCCCCTCTCACCCCGGGGGGGGGGGGGACTGCGGAAGGCGGACAGGCCCGGGTTTTTGTATAGGTTGGTCGCGCCACCGCCCGCCGCACTCGCGCTCTCACCTTTTGGGGGGGACTGCGGGAAGGGGACAGGCCAGGTTTGGATGTTTGGCGCGCCACTGCCGCCCGCACTCGCGCTTCACTGCTCGGGGGGGGGGCAAGGCGGAAAGGCCGGTTGTGTTTAGTGTTGGCGCGCCACCGCCCCGCACTCGCGCCTCACTGCTGGGGGGGGCGGAAGGCGGACAGGCCAGGTTTTGTTAAGTGTTTTTCGCGCCACCTGCCCCCCGCACTTCCCCCGCCCCCCCCTGTCGGGGGGGACTCGGCAAGGCGGACAGGCCAGGTTTTTGTATAGTTTGGTCGCGCCACCTCCCGCCGCCTCGCGCCTTCCCCTGTGGGGGGGGGTGCGGCAAGGGGGAAGGCCAGGTTTTGGGGAAGTGTTGGGGCGGCCACCCGCCCGCCCCACTCGCGCTCCAGCTGGGGGGGACTGCGGCAAAGGGGGACAGGCCGGTTTGTGTATAGGTTTGGGCGCGCACCTGCCCGCCGCACTCGGCTTCACGCTGGGGGGGAGCGGGAAGGCGGGCAGGCCAGGGTTTTTTGTTATGTTTGGTCGCGCCACCCCGCCCGCCGCATCGCGCTCTCACTGCTGGGGGGGGCTGCGGCAAAGGGGGAAGGCCGGTTGGGGGTTTGTGTGGTGCGCCCCCTGCCCCCCGCATCGCGCTCTCACTGCTCGGGGGGGGCTGCGGCAAGGCGGACAGGCCAGGTTGTGATAGGTTGGTCGCCCACCTGCCCGCCCGCACTCGCGCTTCATGTCGGGGGGGACGCGGCAAGGCGGACAGGCCAGGTTTGTGTATAGGGTTGGGCGCGCCCCCTGCCCGCCGCACTCGCGCTTCAGCTCGGGGGGGACTGCGGCAAGGCGGACAGGCCAGGTTTGTGTATAGTGTTGGTCGCGCCACCTGCCCGCCGCACTCGCGCTCTCACTGCTCGGGGGGGACTGCGGCAAGGCGGACAGGCCAGGTTGTGTATAGTGTTGGTCGCGCCACCTGCCGCCGCACTCGCGCTCTCACTGCTCGGGGGGCACTGCGGCAAGGCGGACAGGCCAGGTTTGTGTATAGTGTTGGTCGCGCGCCTGCCCGCCGCACTCGCGCTCTCACTGCTCGGGGGGGACTGCGGCAAGGCGGACAGGCCAGGTTTTGTGTATAGTGTTGGTCGCGCCACCTGCCCGCCGCACTCGCGCTCTCACTGCTCGGGGGGGACTGCGGCAAGGCGGACAGGCCAGGTTTGGTGTATAGTGTTGGTCGCGCCACCTGCCCGCCGCACTCGCGCTCTCACTGCTCGGGGGGGGACTGCGGCAAGGCGGACAGGCCAGGTTTGTGTATAGTGTTGGTCGCGCCACCTGCCCGCCGCACTCGCGCTCTCACTGCTCGGGGGGGACTGCGGCAAGGCGGACAGGCCCAGGTTTGTGTATAGTGTTGGTCGCGCCACCTGCCCGCCGCACTCGCGCTCACTCACTGCTCGGGGGGGCCTGCGGCAAGGCGGACAGGCCAGGTTTGTGTATAGTGTTGGTCGCGCCACCTGCCCGCCGCCCTCGCGCTCTCACTGCTCGGGGGGGACTGCGGCAAGGCGGACAGGCCAGGTTTGTGTATAGTGTTGGTCGCGCCACCTGCCCGCCGCACTCGCGCCCCAAAAGCTGGGGGGGAATGCGGCAAGGCGACAGGCCAGGTTTTTTGATAGTGTTGGTCGCGGCCCCCCTGCCCCCCCACTCGCGCTCTCACTGCCGGGGGGGACCGGCAAGGGGAAGGCCAGGTTTGTGATAGGTTGGTGCGCCCCGCCCCCCGCACTCGCCCCTCCCAATGTCGGGGGGGGATGGGCAAGGCGGACAGGCCAGGGTTTTTGATAGTGTTGGTCCGCACTGCCCGCCCATGCGCTCTCACGTGGGGGGGATGCGGCAAGGGGAAGGCAGGTTTTTGGTATAGGTTGGTCGCGCAGCCCCCCGCACTCCCCCCCCTCTCAGCTCGGGGGGGACTGCGGCAAGGCGGAAAGGCCGGTTTGTTATGTGTTTTGGGCGCGCCACCTGCCCCCCCCCCGCATCGCGCTCTCACTGCTCGGGGGGGACTGCGGCAAGGCGGACAGGCCGGTTTTGTGTAGGTTGGGGCGCACCTGCCCCCCGCACTCGCGCTCTCACTGCTCGGGGGGGGCCTGCGGCAAGGCGGACAGGCCAGGTTTGTGTATAGTGTTGGTCGCGCCACCTGCCCGCCGCACTCGCGCTCTCACCTGCTCGGGGGGGGACCTGCGGCAAGGCGGACAGGCCAGGTTTGTGTATAGTGTTGGTCGCGCCACCTGCCCGCCGCACTCGCGCTCTCACTGCTCGGGGGGGACTGCGGCAAGGCGGACAGGCCAGGTTTGTGTATAGTGTTGGTCGCGCCACCTGCCCGCCGCACTCGCGCTCTCACTGCTCGGGGGGGACTGCGGCAAGGCGGACAGGCCAGGTTTGTGTATAGTGCTTGGTCGCGCCACCTGCCCGCCGCACTCGCGCTCTCACTGCTCGGGGGGGACTGCGGCAAGGCGGACAGGCCAGGTTTGTGTATAGTGTTGGTCGCGCCACCTGCCCGCCGCACTCGCGCTCTCACTGCTCGGGGGGGACTGCGGCAAGGCGGACAGGCCAGGTTTGTGTATAGTGTTGGTCGCGCCACCTGCCCGCCGCACCGCGCTCTCATGCTCGGGGGGGACTGCGGCAAGGCGGACAGGCCAGGTTTGTAAGGTTGGTCGGCCACCCTGCCCCCCGCACCCCCCCGCTCTCACGTCGGGGGGGACCGGAAGGGGACAGGGCCCGGTTTTTGATAGTGTTGGTGCGCCACCCCGCCCGCCCCATCGCGCTCTCACTTCGGGGGGGGGGCTGCGGCAAGCGGACAGGCCAGGTTTTGTGTATAGTGTTGGTCGCGCCCACCTGCCCGCCGCACTCGCGCTCTCACTGCTCGGGGGGGGACTGCGGCAAGGCGGACAGGCCAGGTTCTGTGTATAGTGTTGGTCTCGCGCCACCTGCCCGCCGCACTCGCGCTCTCACTGCTCGGGGGGACTGCGGCAAGGCGGACAGGCCAGGTTTGTGTATAGTGTTGGTCGCGCCACCTGCCCGCCGCACCTCGCGCTCTCACTGCTCGGGGGGGACTGCGGCAAGGCGGACAGGCCAGGTTTGTGTATAGTGTTGGTCGCGCCACCTGCCCGCCGCACTCGCGCTCTCACTGCTCGGGGGGGACTGCGGCAAGGCGGACAGGCCAGGTTTGTGTATAGTGTTGTACACAAGCATAATTAAAACCATACTTATTTCTGTTTTCTTTCACAGAATTAACACGGGAACTCATTAAGCAGCAGTTATTCGACCACGACTTGGGTCGCCTCGAGTCGTACTGCAGACAGCAAGCCGACTACAGACTCATCACGGATCTGTTGTCGCCGCTAGCGAGTCTCGTGTTCCACGCCAAAACTTCGCTCAAATTGGATGCTGTACAACAAGTGAGTGATCACACTAAACTTTATGGCATAGTGAATATAGCAATAATAAAAAGTAGATTTGTAAATCGATTGGGCCTTGGCATGTTTGGGTCTGGTGTGGTGACGGATTAAGAATACGGAGTGTCACTACCCCTATCCATCCCGTGGGTGTCAAAGAGTCGACTAAGGGAGCAAACTACGCAGGACATCAGCACTGTAAAGAGAAGGAAAACTTGACACAAACTCTATACCAACCCGTCTGGCCAGCGTGGTATAGTAGGTCAAAACCTTTCTGACGAGAGGCATATGTCCAGCAATGGACTATTAAAGGCTGTTGATGTGATGATGTTACTTACAAATGTTGACATGGGTACCTTTCGTTCATCAGAAAGAACTGAACTCGAAAGACAAAGAAATACTTTGAAAGGTTCATTGTTTAATACGTTTCTTTTTCAGGTTATCTTAATAGCAATGGGATTCCAAATGAAAGATGTTGACGACTTGGCGAACGAACTTAAACTGCCCGCTTCCCAGATATTGGCTAAATTCTACGAAGCCTGTAAAAAGATAAACGCGTCCTTTAATGCCGTGCTAGAAGATACTGTGGCCAAAGAAATAGGCATAGAAGACAAGGAAGCTGATGACATGACCATGGGACCAGTCAAGCAAAGCCTGCAAGATGAGCTGTCGAAGGCTGCCAAGGTAATCAGTTGTGGCTTTTTAATAGTGACTGGAGTGATGTGGATTAGAAATAAATTTTAGATCTCTTAACATTTGACTTTTATTTAAATTATTTGTGTGTTATCAGATCTAAAAATACGAAGTTATGGTTTTACATTAACTTTAGGTGAAATTTCTTCGGGCACGCCGTCATCGCGGCGGTAAGACCCGTTATGGAGGATTGGTTCGAGAGGCGTCACGGGACCCTCTCATACCGATTGACGCAGGTGATCACTGGGAAGGGATGTTTCGGGGATCACCTGTGTCTGATCCGCAAGGAGCCAACGCCTGAGTGCCACCACTGCGATGGCCAGACCGTGGACACGGCTCTCCACACGCTGGCAGAGTGCCCGGCGTGGGTTGAGCAGAGGTGAGACCTCGTGGCGGCCATCGGAGTGGGAGTTCTCTCGCTCGATAGCCTGATTGCGGCTATCGTGCGGAGCGAGAGTGCGTGGAACTCTGCCGTCTCCTTCTGCGAGCAAGTTATGCTCGCGAAGGAGACGGCGGAGCGGGACCGGGAGAGGTTTAGGACTTTTCCGGCCCGCCAGGCCCGGGAACGGGCCAGGTACCGCAGGCGACTCAGGCGCCGGAGGTCGCAGAACGACCTCCGTCCTCCATAAGCGCAGGCCTGGGGGTGGCAGGTGAGGCCATCTGTCACCCTAGCAGAAGCAGGCCGGGGTGGCGGCGAGCGCGTTGCGAAGCGCGCTCGCTTCCAGGGAGCAGAGGGAACATGGGGTTCCCACACGGGGGGGTCGTCTACTCGTCTGTAGATGACCCGAGGTATGTCGTGGCACCAGGGATTTCCTTTCTAGGGTATACCTGGTTCCCGGCTATTAGTACCCGAGACGGCGTGCGGTTTTAGTCGGTTCGAGTCCGACATGCCACCGACAGGTGGTATCCTAATGGTGGAAAATTTAGTGGAAAGAAAGTACAGCTTTCGTTAATATCCTTTCATGAATGCGTATGTGGTTGTAGTTTTGTCGGAAAACCTTTTAGTACCACTTTCGAAAAACTTTTTTTTATTTATGTTTTATCTTACAAAAACCCTAATCGGACCCACTAAGGCAGCGTTTTTCAAATTCTAAGTTACTCCTTATACAGACAGCTACCTGGTAGTAAAATATTATCAAAATCGGTCCCGCGGTTTAGAAGATTACCCGAAAGACAGACAGACAAAAAATGTTTAAACTGGATTTTAGGCATAGGTATCGTGCAAATAACTGTGTAAACATGAAAAAAACCTATTTTTTTTAACATTACAAACAAACACTTCAATTTTATTTGTTTGTAACACATCACATCAACAGCTTTCAATAGTCCACTGCTGGACATAGACCTCTGCTTAGAAAGGAGGTTTATTTATATGTATAGATAGTATTTATTTTACGTACGCTCTCTCCCTTTCCTTTGTTTTAGGGACACAAAGGGCCGCCCTTTGAGTCCCTAAAACGCACTTGTGTTGCAACTCAGTTCTAGTTCCATGGGCGGTGATAGTCGGTTACCACCAGATGACCTGTGTGCTCGTTTGCTCCCAATACAATAGAAATTAAAACAATTTTGACAACTGGATTAAAAACATTAACACTCCTACTCTAACTCGCTCTTTTCTTTAATTATTGAGTTTAAAGTTTATTGGTTTATGGTATTTTTCAGGAATTGGAACGTAAACAAAGGAAGGAGCTATCACGTTTAATGGGCGAGGACCTCGCACAGTACAGTATTAAGGGCAGCGACCTTGATTGGGGCAAGGCGCTCACCAGCAGCAAGCAGAAACAACTTGTATCTGTTAAAAGGTGAGATATATATACATACTTTAACTGCACGGATGGCGTAGTGGTTTAAGCGGTCGCCACGCCGCTTTCTACTACGCCGAGTGTTGTGGGTTCAAACCCCACATGGGACGACACTTTGTGTGATCCACAAATTGTTGTTCTGAGTCTGGGTGTTCTTTGTGCCCGTTTCATGTATGTTTGTGTGACTCAGATGAACAAGGTTAGGAATAGAAGTAATAGGTTATCTTGGTATGGACATGTCATGCGGAGGTATGGGAGTTGAAGGGTACAAGAGAAGAGCAAGGCCAAAGGAAAGGAGAATGGACTGTGTGAGTGAGGATATGGCTAGGAAGGGAGTAAACAGTGAGATGACGAATAATAGAGTAGAATGGAAGAATCATACTTACTGCGCCTGATGATGATTTGTCTTACACGATATGTTTTTCATTTCCAGTGGAGAAAAACGTCTTGGCGACAACGATCAGGATATCGATGACCTAATAGCGCCAGAAGGGCACAGAAAGAAGAAGAAAAAGAAACATGTACGAAATCAAGTGTAATTATATTTGGCAGATTCAAAGAGATTTTAATCTGCGTGTTCAATACGGTTGTCCGCCATCTTGATTTGTTTCGATCAGTGCGCAGACCCGGCGCAGGCCACGTCTCGGCAACAAGTGATGTTCGCACCACTGACAGATATCTGATATGGCATAGACAACTTCACTCTAGACCGCCGACCAAAAAGCAATGACAATGACAGTGTTGCCATACGAATTAATGATAAAATCATTCATTCTCCAACCTATATACATATATATATTATTTATATCATATATATGTTTCACTGTTTCACTAATAAACTTAACTGACTGTTTCAATTATTACCTTTATAATAATAATAACCCCCACACATCTCACACACGGCTGTTTGATCCCAAACTAGGCAGAGCCTGTACTATGGGAACCAGACTGCTGATAAACATATATTTTTATACTTATATATTTCTAAATACACACATATTATAGATAAATTACACCCAGACACAACAAACGAACGTGCTCATCACATAAATATTTATTCTAGGCGGGAATCGAACCCACGTCCTCCGGCTTAGCAGTCAGGGTTACTAACTACTAGACCAACAGGCCCAGGCTTTGAATATATTCCACAAACACTCCAGACAAATCTTCTGGTGTTATTAATATCAAGTAGATCGGCAAAATATTGGGCGTTTATTTCATAATTCTCTTTTACTATTTTTCCGTATTAGATATTCGAGGAGCTTAGCTTAGGTATTACTTTTCTATTCATCAATCATCAACAGCCTTTACTAGTCCACTGCTGGACATAGGCCTCCTTAGAAACGAAGTTTTGGCCTACTATACCACGCTGCCCAGACGGGTTGGTATAGGGTTTGTGTCAAGTTTTCCTTCTCTCTGCAGTGCTGTTGAAATATCTGGGCCTGATCCTCGACGGGAGGTGGCTCTTCGACGAGCACTTCCGACAGCTTGCTCCAAAGCTGGTCGGCGCTGCGTCTGCCCTAGGGCGACTTTTGCCCAATTTGGGTGGACCCAGCGTCGCGACAAGACGGCTGTACACGGGGGTTGTCCGGTCAATGGCACTGTACGGTGCACCGGTGTGGGCGGCGGCTCTGACCGCCCAGAATAGGGTACGCCTCTGGCGCCCTCAGAGGGTAATGGCGGTCAGAGCCATACGCAGTTACCGCACCGTGTCGACGGAGGTGGCGTGCGCGTTGGCCGGAACTCCCCCGTGGGATTTGGAGGCGGAAGTGCTCGCCGAAGTTTATCGGCGAGTGGCTGACTCCCGGGCGGAGAGCGGATTTCGCCCTCCGCCCGAGGATGTGCGCGAGTGGCGCGAAGCCGCTCGCCGAGCCACGATGGCTCGTTGGTCGTTCCGGCTGGAGACTCCACGCGCTGGCTTCGCCGCCGTGGAGGCTCTCCAGCCGGCCATCGCCGAGTGAGCAGGGCGGCAACACGGGACCCTTGCCTTCCGGCTGACGCAGGTGCTTTCCGGGCACGGTTGCTTCGGAAAGTACCTGCACTCGGTCGCTAGGAGGGAACTGAGTCCCGCCTGCCACCACTGCGACTGCAGTGAGGACTCGGCCCAGCACACGCTGGCGGTCTGCCCCGCATGGGCGACGCAGCGCCGGGCCCTCACTGCAGTCATCGGAGCAGATCTCTCGCTACCGGCCGTAGTACGCTCCATGGCCGGTAGCGACAGTTGTTTTACCGCGGTCGCAACCTTCTGCGAGGAAGTAATCTCGCAGAAGGCCCGGGAGGACGACCGTGTGCGTTACCCCAGCAAAATAATGTCGAAAATGGTCATTTAAACTTTATAGATAATTAGTTGCTCCCCTTCTGTAATTGTTAGGCACATTTTTAAATTTGTTTCACTTAAACTTTTTTAGTTATTTTGAAAAAAACATTTCCTGCTGGAGTAACGTTTGAAACGTTACCGCAACCAGACATTTTCTTTTTTAATTGTAATATTGAAATAAATTTTAGCTAAATAATTAGTTATCTGGACTAGGTAAATGTTACAACTTATTTGGTATTTGTATTCTCTTCGGTTGCGAAGTTATTCGAAATCCTGCTGGAGTAACGTTTGTGGGTTTGCTGGATCTCTGAAACGGGTAAGCGGATTGTAACCATCTTTTGTACATAACTTCTTAAGGATTAGTTTTAATTTGTTCGACAATAAAATAACAAAAATAATGGACCGTTTAAAAATTATTTAGGTAAGTATGAAAACACTTCAATACGTCCTAACACTTTAAATAAGACCTCTAAAGACTTACTTGAAACGTTATTCTATTGCTTGTAACTACCTTCAAATGTATACGAATTTTCGTAAGAATACTGTAAGTGACTAAAAAGTTATGATGAAATGTAGCTCTCCACGTTCACGATCACAATGTGTGCGGCCTTTTTTGGCCACCGATAAACCTGTGTGTGGATATATAAACTGAATGTTATGCCAATAATTAGTTGTTTAGTTCAGTTGTCTACCTGTAAAATTTCAGCGTAGTACATATAATAATTTACGAGATAATTAAATAAAAGTCATTAGAAGGTGCAAGACCGTGGTAACCCGACCATGTTTAGGTGGTTACAAAAAAGCGATCACCCAGTACATTGTGCTGGCTTTTAAAATATGTAGGATATTATTTGGAAGTTTACTACGGATATGTACATAAGTGTTACAAAAAACTACATGTTTTTTAAATATTTTTTATTTAGGATTGTTTATTGCATAATTAGTAATCAGCCGGGAGATTAGGTATTGTTTTGAATGCTTTTGTTTTCTCGTAATGTTTAGGTGAATTGTTTATAGTTGTTCATAGAATTGGTACCTGCGTAGTATTTGTTAATTGAAGTTTAATTTTAGGGTAGGTATAGGAAATGAAATGATAAGTTTTGAAGAGTGTAACGTATGCGTTGTAAATAGGTATTTTGTGAATAGATGGGGATTTTTTTAAGTGATGAATCGACTTACGGCCTGGTCACGACTTTGGTCTTAGCGGAGCGCGGCGCGGCGAGCGGGGCGGCGTCGGTGAGCGGTGCGTTTTGCACGCCACGTACCCTCAGTAGCGGTTAGTTGCAGCGGCCACGGTGGACGTATTTAGGTAGTCAAAACGTGTTCAAAATCATGGCGTTATCAAAATTATCCCTTCTCTGTTTAGAAAGCAGTACATTTTTAAAACAAGATATTCTTAATATGAGAGAAGGAGTGCACGAACTAAATAAAGATCGGTATTTAAATGGCGAATTTCGTGACCTATACGAAGCTTACAGAAAATATCCAAATAAGTTTTATGAGTACACAAGAATGAGTGTGAAAACTTTTGATTACATTCTGCAGCACATAGAAGTATATTTAAAACAGCACATCAGATCCAAAAGGGTAGTCACCAATCCAGAAAAATTGTTTCTCACTTTGAGGTAAGTGTAAATAAAATACAGATAATTGTCATATAATCACGCAAATATTATTTTTTTATTTTTCTTATACCTACTCGTAATTGTAATAATAAGTATTTTTGATAATACAATAATCACAGATTGAGTTTTATTTAGGTACTAGGTATTATTTATTTATTTATAATAATTAGCCTTAACTTATAATTATCAAAGTAATTGAATAATCAGCCTTTAGTATTTTACTATCTACATATTAATAACACTATAATCAATGCCGATGTTAGTAGCGGGAGGCGGTTGTGTGTAGTAACCGCGTGATGTATAGTTATCTCCATACATGTTCGAAACCAATTCATCCATCAGAACTTGATTTATTTTATTTCGCACTCTGATTTTCTGAATGGAATTCAGTTTTTGCATTTCAGGCAAAATACTCATAAGAAAATGATAATCCTCTGTTTTTTCAACATCTGCTGTATTCTGATTCTTATTGACTTCCTGTTCCAAAATTTTCAGTTTTTTTTTTTCAATTTCTAAATATTCGGCCCGAATATCGTTTGCGGGAAAAAACAGGTATTTCCGAATGCGAAGTACTTGGTTGGGGTGACATTGATACCTCACGTGGCCGGAGATTTTCCAAAGATGACGGCGCCGAAAGCGTTGATTGGAATTCAGATTGAGAAGAAGCATCTAAATCTTGATACTCATTTTCAGTAAGATTGGACTCATTTTCTGCTGGCATAAATTCTTCTTTCAAAAATGTCATTAAGGTGAAATATTTCCACTGCGACATAGAATTCTCGTCATCGGGGCCGGGGTCCCCGGAGCGTGAAGTCGCAGTCTTCCTCAATTCTTTTCTATAGGCATCCTTAAGATTTTTCCATTTTTTCTTCAATTGTGCAACTGAAATAAAAGTTATCCTTAATAGATAAACTATAGAATTTATAAAAAAAATTTCAGGTACCTTGCACATGGGGCATCTTTCAAGTTACTGACGCATTCATATCGCCTTGGTCGAAGTACAGTTGGAAAAATCATTTATCAAACATTAAATGCCATATGGGTAGCTTTACGTGAAGTTCATATTCCGCAACCAACGCGAGAGGATTTAAAAAAAAAGTCTGATGATTTTTTCATGAAATGGCAATTTCCCAATTGTATAGGGTCGATAGACGGAAAGCATTTTCGGATAATGAAACCCCCGCACAGTGGCAGTGAATATTACAACTACAAAAAGTATTTTTCATTAGTACTCCAAGCTATTTCAGACGCCGACTATAAATTCACTGCTATCGAAGTTGGTGGAAAGGGACGTCAAAGCGACGGTGGCACTTTTCATTTTTCTATATTGAACAAGTTGCTAACCAACGATAGATTTAATGTACCCCCACCTCAGAGTCTGCCCAGCTCGAATGTAATATTACCGCACGTGTTGGTGGGAGACGAAGCTTATCCATTGAAGACTTATTTAATGCGTCCTTATCCGTCTGGGAATTTGGACAGAGAGAAAAAAATCTTCAATAAAAGATTATCAAGAGCCAGAGTAACTATTGAGTGTGCCTTTGGTATCTTGACAAACAAATGGCGCATTTTTATGAAATCTATTGAGACAAATACAAAACATGCAAAGTTGGTTATAAAAGTCGCATGTCTGTTACATAACATTGTAAGAGAAAAAGAAGGGAATAATGATAAAGACTACAGAACGTATATGAGTAATTCATCAAGCGGCAACATTACAATAACAAGATCGAGGCGGAATAATCGAGCTTCATTACGTGCAACCGCTATTCGCGATAAGTACAGAAATTATTTCGTAAATAATCCAATAGACATATAAGTAACACTAAATTCAAAACTTGTCCACTATCTAGGTACATTATTTAAATATATTAGTAACTATGTCTATTGTCAACTACGAAAACATACCAGTAGTTTCGTCTGTAGGTAACTACTGATATGTTTCCAAGTGTTTTGCCAAGTAGGTACTTACAGAGAGAAAAAACTTTAAAAACTTGTCAACTACTTACATAGCGTATAAGACATACTAGTAGTTTCGTGTGTAGTTACATATCTACAGACGAAAGTACTGATATGTTTACTAAGTGTTTTGATAATTAGGTATCTACCTACTGACAGAGAAAAAAATAAACCTTAAAAACTTGTCAACTACCTACCTACATTACGTAAACATACCAGTAGTTTTGTCAACATATTAGTAGCTTCGTTTGGTAGGTACCTTGGTTCTATGTTTTTGTGTTATCAATTTAAATTACACTTACCATTATATTCCGGAAAACATTGTTTAATTTCTTCCCACAACCTTTTTATAACGTTTTTATATTTATGTTGGGGATGTTTTGACATCCATATAGGCGGTCTATTTAAAATTTCCGTTATAAAAGCCTCGGAATCCATTACCGCCACAAAATCGTCTAAAATTTTTTGTTTCTATTAACGCCGCTGAGTACGTCACTCCTGCACCGCTGTCCACGCCGCTCTGTTTCGTGGCGTCGCACTCATTCACTTGTACTTTTGTTCCTGCCGCTCTCCACACCGCGCGCCGCTGTAGCAATTCGCTCGAAAAAAACCGCGCGCGTTTTCGCTATGAGCGGCGTCTCGTGGCGTGCCTCAAACATTTTTATACTTTTGATATTACCGCTCGCCGCCCCGCGCTTAGCCGCCGCTCACAGCGGCAAGGTCGTGAACGGGCCGTTAGGCTAGCATATCGCGAACAAACTCTGTATTGCATTATTTCTGTAATAATGTTGGAGAAAATAAAATATTTGATCACAAAATCGCGGTGAGTTAAATTATAATAAAATAAATTATTTATGTAAAATTAGTAATAAGTGATATACCTACCTAAAAGTTATGATCGTTTTTAATTTGTTCACCCTGAACGAAATTTCAATATTAGCATTAGTAATTAATATCCTAAGACAAGAATTGACAATTACTTAAATTGAATCGAATTAGCATTAATGCCTATTATTAGTAATTAGGTACACACATATTGAAGAACTCTCAAGAATACGATAAATATTTGCAAAAATAGGAAGCGGAAGCGCACACGTACTTTACAACACGTATATTATCTGCCTAAGGGTCAAGTTTAGTGCACTAGATGCAAAAGGCAAACAATGAAGTATCCCTTCGCCCCTCCCCTCCCGCGTTCTAGCGATTCTTGATTGACAAATATTATCTGACCAATAATTTTATCTATAAAAATGTATCACTTTCACTCGATAAATTAAATTACCGTCATTATATCAAAATATCATTCAACAACTGTTCGTTTTTAACAGAAATCAACAGTCACGGGCTCAACGCTTAACGGTAGGTACATAGGTATAGATAATTCTCGGTTCTAGGTATAGACCACAGAACAATATTACCTACTCTTACGAGGTATACGACTGTTGGGCGATGCAATGTTGATGCATTCTAATTTACAACTGTATTCTTCTACTATTCGGTCTATTTTAACTTATTGTAGATGACTTGTTGCTTTAAATATTTTGATGCATTCAAGTCTAAGCTCTATACACCCCAAAATAAAATACAATTACTTTAGTGTTATTTCTTTACAATAAAAAATCAAAGAAATGAAACGATTTCTTATTGGTTTAAATTTTCGTTTTATTGCAGTCAGGTGAATCGTTCATACATGTATCTACATATTTATAATTTTAGCGGACCAGTGCAGATTTTCTGTTGATTGTAGCTCCGGTAGTAAAAAAGACTAAATAAATTTTAAGTAAAGAAACAAGTGCTTAAGATCAATTAGGGAAAAAAACAAAATAAATAATAGGTAATAATAATGAATAAATATTGAATGTATTTAACACTGTACGCAACTGTACCGAAATCGTAAGGTGTATTACACTAAACATTTCAAAAGACAGCGCAATGTACTGGGTGATCGCTTTTTTGTAACCACCTAAACATGGTCGGATTACCACGGACTTGCACCTTCTAATGACTTTTATTTAATTATCTCGTAAATTATTATATGTACGACGCTGAAATTCTACAGGTAGACAACTGAACTAAACAACTAATTATTGGCATAACATTCAGTTTATATATCCACACACAGGTTTATCGGTGGCCAAAAAAGGCCGCACACATCGTGATCGTGAACGTGGAGAGCTACATTTCATCATAACTTTTTAGTCACTTACAGTATTCTTACGAAAATTCGTATACATTTGAAGGTAGTTACAAGCAATAGAATAACGTTTCAAGTAAGTCTTTAGAGGTCTTATTTAAAGTGTTAGGACGTATTGAAGTGTTTTCATACTTACCTAAATAATTTTTAAACGGTCCATTATTTTTGTTATTTTATTGTCGAACAAATTAAAACTAATCCTTAAGAAGTTATGTACAAAAGATGGTTACAATCCGCTTACCCGTTTCAGAGATCCAGCAAACTCACAAACGTTACTCCAGCAGGATTTCGAATAACTTCGCAGCCGAAGAAAATACAAATACCAAATAAGTTGTAACATTTACCTAGTCCAGATAACTAATTATCTAGCTAAAATTTATTTCAATATTACAATTAAAAAAGAAAATGTCTGGCTGCGGTAACGTTTCAAACGTTACCCCAGCAGGAAATGTTTTTTTGAAATAACTAAAAAAGTTTAAGTGAAACAAATTTAAAAATGTGCCTAACAATTACAGAAGGGGAGCAACTAATTATCTATAAAATTTAAATGACCATTTTCGACATTATTTTGCTGGGGTAACGCACACAGGACGACCTCCACTCGGACCCGATCCGCCGCCGGCGAACCGGGCGGCGGAGGCGCGCCTATCACCGCCTCATGCCGCACTGAGTGTGGACGGGGTGGGTTTCCCCTCCGCCCGCATTAGTTTGGCCAGCCGCGAGGGGGCGGCGTCCGCGTGTGCCGGACGTCGCCTAAAGAGAGGAACAATTTTGAGACGGGGCCCGCAACTAGAGCGGGCCGGCGCTAGGAGGGGTCCGGATGTCTTAATAACAGCAGTTCCCGGATCCCTCCTATTACAGGCGCAGAGTGGCACACCGTGTGGTTTTAGTCGGTCCGAGTCCGACACACCACCCCGCCGCAAACCCCGGTGGGGTGACGGTCCGAGGGGAGTTCCACACGTAAAAAGTGCAGTGCTGTTGTCCTGCGTAGTTTGCTCCCTTAGTCGCCTTTTACGACACCCACGGGATGGATAGGGGTGGTGACACTCTGTATTCTTAATCCGTCACGACACGGATTCTTTTCTATTATATATTATTAAACAGTTGAAAGTCCTCTATGAAACTGTTGTAAGCTACATTTGGATTGAGCGTACTATACATTTCGAAAAACTTTATAGCATTTAAAACACTTAAAATTTAATAAGTTTTGTTGACAATAATTGCGTCTAAACCTATAATATTTATAAATTTTGCATACTGTTACGAGCGGGGTATATAATGAATAAAAGATGTCGGTTAATTACTCTATTTTACTGTATTTACGAACACTCACTATAACTAGAAATCACTATATATCGCACCAGAAATTCACTCCGATTTTAATTCGCTGTGTCGTAAAACGGAACTGTCCCGAACGTCCAACACGCTCTGCTTTTATAGCGCTTTTGAATCTGGAAAGTTCCTAGTATTCGGCAGTCCGTTCCACGAATATTCCAGAATCAGTCACGCGTTACTTGCAGCGCCATCTAGCGCTGTAAGGACCAGACCTACTCGTATTGACCACAATCTTAATAGATGTACTTTAGTCGATACCAGATGGCGCTGTCCTACACATTTCATACAATCAAACTATTTAATCTGTTGGGCATTTTATTAGCTGTGCTGTATGGTCAGAATGGGCATGGTACAATTATAATACAGTACTCCAACTTCATACAAACGGACGAAACGCGAGCTATACCTACGCGCCTCGATCTCGGGGTGCAGACAGTCACGGCTGTACCGCAGTGTCAAACGGACGGTGTGTTGTTTTTTTAACAATAACCGCGCGATTTTTTCGCTAAAATTCAGTTAATATGACGAGTAGGAAATATTGTGCTGTTTTTGGTTGTATGAATTCGTCAATAACGCATCCAGACATAAGTTTTTTCAAATTACCTGGGAACTCTGAAAGGTAAGACTATAAAATAATTTTACTTACTAGTAGGTAGGTACATAATGTGTGTATTTTTAATGGATAAGTATTTCCTTTTATCTCACGAAAAATAAAGGTGTTTGGATTAATAAATAAAGCGAATAGAGTAACGGAAAGTTATTGAGACGAGTGAAATAGGTAGTTATATGCGGTTCTGAATGAATCATGATACGGTAGGTACCTACCTACTTACGCTTGTGTTAAAACTTCGGTGCATGTGTGTTTTGTTACTTTGCATAATTCAAAGTAAAGCAGCGTCCACACTATGCCGGGCGAGGCCGAGCGGGCTGACCCGGGCGGCCTAAGCCGGGTTGGTGTGGACGCCCCGGGCGGCTTAAAAAGCCGGCCCGAGCCGAGCCGATCCCAACCCGCAGAAAGTAGGTACAGATCAAAGGATGCCGGCCCGAGCCGAACGAAAATATGTAGTGGGGACGTGCCGAGCGGCACCGGGCGGCTTTAGTTGTCCAGTCTTGGTGTCGAATTGAAACTAATAGGTAGATATAACCCGGGCGGCCTCGTTTTCGGTGTGGACGTCGTGCCGGCCCGAACGAACCCGCCCGGCTTAGGCCGCCCGGGTCAGCCCGCCCGGCCTCGCCCGGCATACTCCGGCATAGTGTGGACGCTGCTTAAAGACGTGGTATTTTATTATTATTAATATTTGTTTATTATCTGTGTGTATGAATAATAGTAGAAAAAAAATTTTACCGTCTGTGTGTCATTAGATAGTTTTCGAAATTTTCACAAAGTGTTTCTGCTGCTACTATAACAACATATACCACCAAAAACTGGTTTTATTTTCTCGGTATTAACAACAACAGCTAGACTCATATATAATATTTAGATGTTTGAGGGTTGTGATTTTAAAACATTCGTAGTCAGCTGTTCATCTTTTTAATAATAGGGAATATGCACGTGACACCAAAATGGACAAAATATTTTTATTTGTAATTTTTATTGCTAAAAAAAGATACCCATACAATTATTTTTGAAATTTATTATAATTTAATAGTGAAATTTAATCATCAAAAATTGGCTTTTTAAGATTCCCTCGCAAATTTCTAAAACGCAACGCTATTGGTTGAATAAAACGTGACATCAACCTACACTGTCAAGAGTGTCAACAAGTTGTGTGTATTTGTAATATTTGGTTTCTGGTGATAATTTGTTTCATTTCAAGTTAATAACTAATACGTTTTCAGTGTTAAATTATTAAATTCCCGTGTAGAAAGACTCAACACAATGACTGAATATACTTTGTCAGGTGCAGTT